ATGGAGAAGTCTATAAGAATCATAGCAATGGTAATGGGTTATTAGCAAAAAAAAATCACAATATTTCTTTTATGTTTTATACTGATGGTGCACCTGCTTTTAAATCGTCAAAATGTAAAGTCTGGCCTGTATATCTTATAATTAATGAATTACCGTACAGCCAAAGAATTTTAAAAGAAAATACTATAGTTAGTGGCATATGGTTTGGACCTGAAAATCCAAATTCAAATCTATTTCTTCAGCCTTTGCATACCGAAATGGTGAAGTTACGACGTGGAGTATATTTTAAAATTCCACAATTTACTACTCCCAAAAAATTGAAGGCATTACTTATTTGTGGTACGTGTGACATCCCAGCGAAAGCTGACTTTATGAATCATAGCCATCATAATGGTTTCTATGGATGTACATTATGTTACTCTCCTGGCTATAATATATCTGGTGCAAATTTTGGCAATACTCATATTTATCCATTCGATGGACCATTAAAATTACGTACTGTCAATGAGCATCGTCAAAACGTTGTAGATGCTTATAGAGAAGGAGAAAGAGTTTTTGGTGTAAAAGAACCTTCACTATTACATTCTATTATGCCAAATGCAATCAATGGAATGTCTATAGATGTCATGCATTGCGTGTTCAATGGTATTGTGCCAAAGCTAGTGTTTTTATGGTTCGACACTACTTTACGTTTTGAAAAATTTTCACTATATGCCAGAAAAGCTATCGTAGATAATCGGTTATTACAAATCCAGCCAATATCATCTGTATCAAGATTGCCGCGTTCAATTTCAGATACTTTTAGCCACTGGAAAGCAAGCGAGTGGAGAAATTTTTTGTTCTATTATTCAATACCGATTCTCCAGGATATCATGGATGACAAGTATTTCGAACATTACACGCAAGTAGTGCAGGGAATATACATGCTCAGCATGAATAGTATTTCTCCGGAACAAATAGATCAAGCAGAGAAATTATTAATATGTTTCGTAAGTAACTTTCAAGCTCTATACAATGCCAGATTTATGTCAATTAATATTCATTTATTAATGCATTTGGTAGAATCGGTCCGAAATACAGGTCCAACATGGGTTACAACATGTTTCCCATTTGAAGATCTAAACGGCAAACTATTGAAGTACATACATGGAACTAGTCATGTAGGCCTACAGATTGGCTCTAGTGTTGCCTACAGTATAATTATATCGAATATAGTAGCAACATTGAATAATGATTCAGAAATTAAAAAATATTGTTCAGATCTTTCAATAACCGGTAAGCGTTTGAAACAAACCCAACAAATCTGTGAGAGAACGTATATCGTTGGAAAAATAACAAGGGTCAATCATGTACCTCAACATTTACGGAGAATTCTTGAAGAATCGGGATTTAGAGATCCTGGTTTGAAAATATCAACTTTTCGAGGAATAAAGAAAAATGGACACATCATATATAATATTAATTATAAGAGATCACGACTATATGCATTTTATGCAATAGTATATAGGGAACACAATTCGACTGGAATGAAAATTGGTTTTATTGAATCGTTTTTTAAGCTATGCGTTTGTATTGATGAATGTCAACCAGATTTTTGTGAAGCAAGATATATTGCTATTGTTAAAGATGGTTCAATATATAATCAATTTAGTACGTCTTGTAATATGATAATTAATAATAACGTGGATGATACACACTATGACCGCATTTCTGTACCACACATTCATAGGTTTAGAGAGAACAATCACCGAAAATTAATATTAATTAGTAATATAAAATCAGTTTGTTTTACATTAAAAGTTAATCAAGAAGTCTATATAGGTGAGCTCATTAACGATATCGATTTCAAAGGCGCTGATTAGTTGTAATATATAACTCTGAATACTTAGCATTAATTTTAAATGCAAATAGTCAGATCTAATGTTATATTAAGATGTGGATTCCATAAAGAACTTATTATCTACTTATTCATAAGTGAATATTAAAATTAAGATATTACAAAATTGTTTCTATGTGTGTTGTTAATATCGATCAAATATATGTTTTAATCAAAAATTAATTATTTAATAAAGATGATAATTGTAAAACACTTAATTCAATTGATTGATTTTTGTTCATAAAGTGAACAGTATAATATGATGATATTTCAAAGTTACCATTCAAAAAAGTTTCTAAGTCCACTGTTCAGAAAATTTTTTAAGTATTGCATGAACTATACTGACAATGAACTGAGAAAAGACTGAAAACAGACTGAAGTATCTTAACTTCAGGACTTAGAAAATTTTCGATACAGTCGATTTTCTCTCAGCCTATTTTCCGGCACATTTAAACTAATATAAAATTTTCTGTTCATGTTTCAGTCTCTGTTTCGACTAAAAATATTTCTCCGCGTCATTTCAGTCTAAACTCCGTATCAGCTTTCTCCACAACATACGATGTCAGTCTCTTTTCCGTTGATTTTCAGTGCTAATGATAATTTTCGTCCCATTTTCGATCGAATTCCGTGTAAAATCCCATTTTCAGTCTCATTTCAGTTCTTTTTCAGTCTTTTATTTTTACCCGGGAAGTGTTGAGGATTGTGCATCTTTTTGTAATGATGAGAGTGTAACTAGTCAAAACCTTAACAGTTCAGAAAATGCAGAAGTTCCTATCTCCGCGATATCGTTAAATGAAAATGATGACGAAGAAATTTTAAATGCAACAACGTCATCAAATTCACCTGATAGAAACACTGTTTCGGAAGTTCGTAACTTGTCAACATCATCAAATGCCTCAAATGAAAATATTAACATTTCATTTGAAAGTACATCTAATAGTGGAATTAATGAAAAAATTCTTCAGTGGGCATTGAGGAATTTAAATACACTACAACTGAAGGTCATTACTGAGCTGTTGTTGTTGCTGAGAGAGGAAGGATTTCATTCCCTTCCAAAGACGGCTCAAGCCTTGCTAGGTACAACACATCGTCGAATACTACAGATGATGGAAACATCTAAAGGAAATAATGGAGAGTATACATATTTAGGAATAGAAAATGGTCTAAAACAAATAATTTTACCTCATCTTTATTTAGAAGACGAAATAAAGGTGTTTGTACACATTGATGGCATGCAGGTATACAATAACTCTCAAGTTCAAGTGTGGCCAATAACTTTGAAGGTATTTCATGAAGAATATATCTCGAAGCCTTACGTTGTAGCTATCTATTGTGGAGATTCAAAACTTAAAAATGTATGTGATTTTTTGTATGATTTTGTTGAAGAAGCAAAGACATTAATGGAATGTGGTGTAATTGTAGGTGGAAAAAATTATTCGTTTAATATTATCGCTTTTATCGCGGACTCTCCGGCCAGATCATATTTAAAATGCATCAAATCACCTGGTGGCTATTATGCTTGTGAGAGATGCACTACAAAAGGAGAAACTGTAGGACAAGGGCGACAAAAGAAACGAATTTATCCAGAAATGAATGAATCACTACGTTCAAAAGAATCATTTACAAACAAAGTACAAATTCAGCATCATATTGACGGCCTTGAGACTCCACTACTTCAATTAACTAGCTTTGACCCAGTGTGTTCAGTTGTGTTGGATTCAATGCATTTTCTTTACAGTGGAGTGATGAAATGCCTCATGGATAAATGGATATCCAGAAATAGTGCTTCACGACTCAGGCTGCAGCATGTTAATTGTTTAAGGCGTATGATGGCGACTTTAAGTGGTGACGTACCAAGTGAATTTCAGAGGAAAAAATTTGATGTTGGTTATTATTCACAATGGAAGGCGACTCAATATCGTTTTTTTTTGTTATATTGTGGTCCTATTGTGATGAAAAATATTCTATCGCGAGATCGTTATGAACATTTTATGCTTTTATGTGTGGCTTGTCGGCTTCTTCATAATAAAACACAGATGATCGTACATAATGATTATGCTAAAGGATTGCTAAGGGATTTTTTTGAATCACTAGAAGAATTTTATGGAAATGGATGCCAAGTATGAGTGATGCACAATTTAATTCATGTGAGTGACGATGTCAGAAATTATAATATTTCTCTTAGCGATCTATCGGCCTTCTGGGGTGAAAACTACATTGCATTATTTAAAAAACTAGTGAAATCTCCTAATAAACCACTCACTCAAATTATTAATAGACTATCAGAGCTTCAAAATAAACAAAAATTCAAAATGAAAAAAAGAAGTGTTATAAGCGAGTGTGTTTTGAGCAAAAACTCTGAAATATTTGGACATCGGGATCAGAATGGTCAAAGGACAGAGTATTTAGTTGTATCGAGTGTAAAGATAAATAACGCGACATTAACTTCGGATCATCCTAATAACATTGTTCAATTGCCTAATGTTTTTCGTATAAAAAAAATTTTATTAAAAAAATACGATGATAATTAGAGAGTTTTTACAATTGACGATCTCTTCATATTAGGAACAAAATTAGTAAGGCCACGTGCGCTATTTACTTTCCCAACTTTTTCCATTGATGTAGGAATTACAGTTGGTGACGCGTTTTCTACATCAGAAGAAATGTTACCTGTGAAGGATATAAAGTCCAAGTGTGTTTTACTACATTTCAATAATCAATATTATGGAATTACATTGCTTCATAATTGAAAGAATTTATTGTTATTAATTGAATCGTTCAAGCTATTTACATAAGTTATATATATGTGTCTTAAATTATTTTACTTCCTGTGCATATATTGGTGCGATTTTATGATTCATCTTTTTGTGTATGAGGGATTATATGTGTTACGTCCTATGTGTGTTCAAATTTGAAAACAAAACAAAGTCTCGATATACCTAGAACTGAGAGCTGTTCGATAAGCGTGCTGTAGTAAACAGTACGAATTAGTACATGAAGTAAAGACAAAAGATCTTTCTATTGGTAGTCGTGAATATTTATCTATGTATATGTGAATAAACTTATGAAGAATTGGATCAGTTGCCTGTAGTGAGCTCTACAATAAACATCAAAGTGAACTGTAAAGTTTTTTGATAGAATTGGTGAAATTTAGTGTGTGAATATTTTCTAAAAACCTATCAACAATGAGTGAAGATTCAAATAGCAATTACTTATATGCAGTGATTTGTTTTCTGAAGAAAAATAAGAAAAAAAAATCCCAAGTAGACTTCATTCCGTCATCATGGATTGTAAAAGTTGACGAAAATAATATTTTTTGTAAATATCCACCAAAAGAAGATTACAATCTAATACCTGAGTGGCTGACTCTGTTAAAGGGTCCAGAAGATGATTGGAATTTATTTCCTATCACAATCATCTCGTATGCACGTAAGTGATTTTTTTTTAACGTAAATGGTAAATCTAATTATTTTTAAATTTTAAATAGTGGACGTGATTTTTATATAATTCAGTTAGATACATTCTTGTCTTATGTTTGTTTTATTAAAAAAAAAAGTGAAGTGAATTAAAATATGAATAGACAATAGTTGATAATTCTTTTTGTGATTTTTTTCTAAGTACTTTTACCTATAGTAAATAAAAACTATTTTTTAATTTGATTTTTCTAAATTGTGTATCATAGGAGATTTAGAACAAGGAAACCGTCGCCTTGATCGTGCATACATCAAAAATGATGTTAAAAGTACTGATGATGAAAGTGCTGTATGTGACGATATTTCAAAGAAATCACAACCTAGATCCATGGCAGAGATAAAGCGTAAAATAAAACCGTTGTCTTCAACAAGTCAGTTATCACCAATTTCTGAAACCATATCAGATGAATCAATACAACAAACAGAGAAAAATCATCATTCAACAACAGTAGAAGTGAAAAAAATAATTGCATCAACTAATAAAAAATACGACCAATTTGGTAAGAAGAATATTTTTTGTGATATCTATGAAATCTTAACAAAAGGTATAAATACAAAATTCTTTTTTCTAGATGAAAAATTAAAAATTTTATCGGATGATATTGAACACTCTCATCCAGATTTGGGTGAGTAATATTTACTATAATAGCGACTCTGAATTTAGTTCAAATATAAAATACTTTTAATCAATTCTTTATTTATAGCATTATTGAAAGACTATATTGATGCAAGATGTTCAAAAATGACCGAAGAATTACGAACTCAACTCTTCTCTATCAAACGAAGCCTACAGTATGATCTTAAAGAAAAAAATAATGAATTAAAACATACTTCAATCGTCAATACAAATACTCAAGGACCAAGTATGAGTGTATCAGATGCAAGAAAAGCTCTGGGAGTGTCTCTTCCATTAATGCAAATTGAAGATTTTTTGAAGTTTGAGGATTTGCTTAAAAATTCAGAGGAAAAACAGAATGCGTTGGTAACTACATTATATTTTTTCCATTAAACAATGTTAAATGAATATTTACATAAACAGCATGAAAATCTAATAAATATAAATTTTCTTTGAGAAAACTTTATATCGTATTTTAATAATCGGAGAAATAACAGTAACAACCTGTATAAAAAAAATTATGTTAGCAACTGTTGATAAACAAATTGAGTTAGAGTATTCTGGGACAGGAAAAAAAAATAAAAAAGCTATCAGCACTAAACGCGATCTTAGTGCAACTCAAACATTCACTTGTTTACAAGGTTTCTATAATTTTTTTCAAATTTGACCAGTCTAATTTTTTATTATTCAATTAAAAAAATAATTGTTTAAATTTTCGTTAGATGTTATCGTTGAAAAATTTGGCGATAAAGAAGAAGTAAAGAATTTACCTGGAGAAGTGGGACGTTGGCTGTCTGGAGCCAATGATAGTGGTGGAGGAAGAAAACAACGATAAATAATTAATATTAATTGTGAATTAATAATCAATAGGGAAGATTATTAATTAATATCTTGTTAACGTTTAAAAATTTTTATATTTTTATAAAAATAATGCAATTTTCGTAATAATTATTTACATTTGAATTTAAGTCTAAAAGAATAAAATACTAAAATATTTATATTAAAATAAAAAAAATTAGTTTATTTAGAGTTAATTGATTGTTCTCTTAAAGTTTAAAAATAAATATTATATTTCATCATTATGTATAATTCTTCAAGTAAATAAAATTGAAATGAAAATAAAAAATATGGATTTTTGATCGATAATTTCGAATTTATTATTTATGAGCCATTACAAACTTTTTTGTTTGAAAGTATTGGCCCTGTATCGTTTGCAATTGATGGCTCATTAAAAATTATCATTATTGGACCGGCATTACCATCCGACTTTTTTCCAGCAATGGCTCTTCAAAGGGTACCTACGTTTGGCCAGTATTGTTCGAATGGGCCCCAGCATTAGCCCAATTCTGTGCCGATTGATAAACCCTATATGAGTTTCATTGCATATTTTGTACAATATATTGTACAAAATATGCAATGAAAAGTGAAAAAGCCAAGCATACAGATGCTATTGATGATATTAATTCAAATATGTCTTTGATAAAACGGCTCTGGAAAATAGCTTTTCGCAGTTTGAATCATAGAGAAGTAGGTTCTCTTGAAGCTGCAGTTACTTACTCTTTACGGTACTGACGCACAAACGGTAATTAAATGGATTGATGTAAGAATGGTTAGAAAAAGAAAACTTTAATCTTATGAAAAAATTAAACAACTGAATGAAAAAGATCCTAATTCAAATGATGTATATTATCCTTCTCTCATAGATGATTATTATCCTTATCGTCCTGAATCATTTGAATCTATGTGCTTGTATGATTTTGTCAAGTGGTATATCATAGAAAAAAGAAAACCACAAAAAATGTCTGGTATTAAATCATTTGTATTTAAAGGGAAAACTTTATATCTTAAAAAACATTCTTTTGGTTATTTAATCAATCACTACAGATATAATATATATACTCAACCGGAAAATTATTACTATGCGTTATTATTACTGTTTCAGCCATGGAGAGATACGAATGAACTAAAAAACGGATTTGAAACTTACACAGAGTCTTTTGAATCTCAAGAAAATATTCTTATAGATGCGTACAAATATCATCAATATTACGAAGAATTTCAAAAAGGATTAGATAATACAAACAAGTTGATTGAACAGCAAATGGTCGATAATAGTAATAAAAATGTAAATGATGTAAATAATGTAAATGACAAATCAGAATTAAATATTATTATGAAAGAGTTGGAAGATGTAAATGACTTTGCTAAACAAAATTTAGATTTAGTCCAAATGATGCAACAGATGAATAAAGATCAACAACGGATATTTGAAAAAATGAGTAATAAACTAAAATCGAATGACAGTAACCCTTTAAGATTGTACATTAGTGGTAAAGGTGGAACAGGAAAGAGTTTTCTAATTAAATTGATTCGAGTATGGATTACACAAGAATTGAAAAGTCGAATCATCGTTGCAGCTCCTACCGGGATGGCTGCTTTTAATATTGACGGCTTAACATTACATAGAATTTTTCAGTTACCCGTAGAACATGGGTACATGCCATCATATCGACAATTATCAGATGATATGTTAAAAATATTACGTGAAACTTTTAAAGATGTAGTCGTGATTATTATTGATGAAATATCAACGGTATCTAATGTAATGCTCATGTATATACATCTTAGATTAGTTGAAATTTTCAATACTACTGATAATGATCCTCATGATGGATGGTTTGGGGGAAAACATATTATTGTATTTGGTGATTTATTCCAACTTCCTCCAATAAATCTTTCCCCAGCCTATGTAAATTTAACATCGTCAGAAGTAGAATATATAAACGGGTTAAGCTGTATCAATGTATGGACTCATTATTTTGAATACGATGAATTACAGATTAATATGCGTCAGAAAGAAGACAATTCATACGCTGAACTACTATCTCGTTTAGGAGTAGGAACAATGACTTCTGATGACATAAAATTATTACGAACTAGAATAATTAACATCGACTTCGAATCAGTGCCACTTAACGAAAGAACATCCAAATTATGTGATTACATAAATAGTTTACCGAATGATATAGTTTGTTTTTTTCCTACTTACAAACAATGCGACCATATCAATTCTGTGATGATCGAAAAAATACCTTCTAAAGAAATAGTTTTAATTGCTCAAGACGATTTCGACTGCCCAAAAAATCTTCATAAGAAAGCTACAAAACTACTAGATAAACTTGAAGAAAAGACTAATGATACAGCTGGGCTGGCAAAAATTATAAAAATAAAGATAGGGGCTAAAATCATGTTAAGACGCAATATTGATGTTACTCTTGGACTTGTTAATGGTACAATCGGTGTTGTTAAATCGGTTTTTTATGGAGGAAATGAAATTGATGCGCAATCTATCTGTGTAAGTTTTGCTGAAGATAAGGAATATGTAATAGAGAGAGTGACTGTAAAGTTTCAAATCATGGATCGAGCGTTTATTATACGAAAGCAGTTTCCAATATGTCTTAGTTATGCTATAACTATTCATAAAAGCCAAGGTTTAAGCTTAAATAATATAATCGTAGATGCAGGAAACACTATTTTTACACCTGGTCAAAGTTATGTTGCATTATCGCGAGTTAAAACATTAGATGGACTACATTTAATAAATTTAGATCCATACACAGCTAATGTAAATATATTAGCAATTAAAGAGTATAATCGACTGAGAAAGATATACAGACCTGATCTATCAGTTATAGAGACACCTGATAAACGTTATCAAAAAGTTTCTGATCGCATATGGTTTATTGATTCTTTCAATATACAAGATGAGAATAATCATATGGAAAAAATAAATCGTTTACAAGAAAAACTTGAAATACGTAAAATTAAAAACTCTGATGATATGTCAAGTTACATAAATGCAACATTACAATGCATTTTCCATATTTATCCGAATAATATAACTAAAGGTATAATTTATGATATGATAAAAATTTATCGGAATAATGCGATAATTATAAGTTCTCAAATTATTAAAGAAATGATGTAAGTATATTAATAGATAATAATTAAGAATGTAAGTATATTAATAATCGAATTGAAAATAAATGTATGTTATCATTGGAGGTATCTAACTCCAAAAAAGTATGTAATTTAGAGGATATTATTAGTAAATCTTTTTCGCATGGGAAAATTATCGATAAATATCAATTGATTAATGCATTAGTTGTAAAAATACTGTTAAAGCAATATTCAAACAGGAAATACAAAGTGCTCCCAAACATTTAATTTTAAAATTATCATCTGTCAATATTAATGATGAACAGTCTGTGAAGATTAAATCAGTTCCTACATCTCGAGTATGTTTGTGCAGCACCACGTACAAAGTAATAAATGGAATATTTTTTGATATTAATACGAACAGTTTCACTAGTATTATCTCCGATAAAAAATCAAATTGGGTATATATTGATGATTCGAAGATTGTCAAAACGCGCTGGCCAACTCTGACAAAGAATGCCCATATGTTCTTCTTACAGTGCATGAAAAATGAATAAGACTACCGTTATTGATACGGTTCTGAAAGTAATACGTTGAACAAATTTTTACAAACGAGAATATTCGATCGTTTTTTTACAGAGTACAAATAGTAGATATGTCCTTAATTACGGTACAAAAATTCCGAAAATCACATCCAAAAACACTCATAGGGCTGTACAAAAATGTGCGCCAAGCATAAATCAAGTGGAATTCTGATATTATACACTATATTTAACAGTTCCAAAATATTTTGACGTTTAAAAACTAAAAAAATTACCCAAATCATTATTCGCCAAGCTTAAAAAATTGATGTTAATATTTTTCTATAGAAAATATAAATATATACATATATGTTTATGTATATATGTTTATAGTGTAATCATATAATACTTTGACAAAAATGTGCATTAGTTAGCATGTAGTGGACAAGATTTATAGAGGAGAAAATTCAACAACTGTGAACAAACAATTTATTAACGTGCAAGATAAAAATGTTAACAGAAAAATATGTTTTGTAAGCAATTTTGGTTATTTTAACAGATATGTTAGAATATACCAAAAACTTGGCGCGGTCTTTTCGGAAAAAGATCAATAAAAATCTGGGTACTCGTTCGCAATAACAAAAACTTTATTTGGCGAATGACTAAAACTGTAAATTCACTTAAGATAAAATGATCGTAATAAAACAAAAAAAAATTCAGAAGTTAAAGTAAATTATAGATTAATAATATAGCAATTAGCTTATTATTATCGAAGTTCCTTGGAGCTATAATTTTCAAATATCAAGTACTATGGAAATTCTTGTATCCTGTGAATTTAACATTCCCAATGTAAAAAACAAACATCGATTCAGCTTAAATATATACTTTAATCAAGTGTTTTACAAACAGCAGTCTTAAATTTTCCGCTGTTCGTATGTATTAGGAGAGTGTTAATGCTTCGCTGAAGACATCCGACAAAAAGTCTCACACGTTATGACATCTATCATCAATGAAGTAGATCATTTCTCTGTACCCCACGTACAAATACAAATGCTCGGTCTTAGTGTGTGTTTTCGTTATCTATTTGAAAAGACCGCGCCAAGTTTTTGGTATATTCTAACATATCTGTTAAAATAACCAAAATTGCTTACAAAACATATTTTTTTGTTAACATTTTTATCTTGCACGTTAATAAATTGTTTGTTCACAGTTGTTGAATTTTCTCCTCTATAAATCTTGTCCACTACATGCTAACTAATGCACATTTTTGTCAAAGTATTATATGATTACACTATAAACATATATACATAAACATATATGTATATATTTATATTTTCTATAGAAAAATATTAACATCAATTTTTTAAGCTTGGCGAATAATGATTTGGGTAATTTTTTTAGTTTTTAAACGTCAAAATATTTTGGAACTGTTAAATATAGTGTATAATATCAGAATTCCACTTGATTTATGCTTGGCGCACATTTTTGTACAGCCCTATGAGTGTTTTTGGATGTGATAATCATAGAGTAAATGTAAAAAAATACATTACGTCAAAACAATTGTGAATAAAAAAAAATTGTTTAAAAAACAATTAAAAAAAAATTTTATAATTCTCCCGGATGCATGATTAGGAAGAGCATCGTTCATTATTGAAGAATCAATTGTTCGACAACCATAATTGTTATTAGAACTACTTTTTCTATGAACAATTAGAAATTAACAGACTGCAAATAAATTTTTAATAAATTCAACATTCTGTTGATAATTGCTTATAAAAAACCTACAATTTAAATGAAAAGAAATTTTAAATAATTAAAAATTACGCATTTGTTTATAAAATTTATCTATAACAAATGCTAAAAAAAATTTTTAACAAATTGTTTTATACTTTTCATATGAAAATATGAAACTTTGCCGTACATAATTTTCATATTAAAAAATAACTTCACATCCAAAAGAAGGGTGAAAGAATCCAAAAACAATAATATTTGGATTTTTTACGGTATTAACAAAAAATTTATTCAAAAAACTAAGATAGCCATTTTATAGAACGGGAAAAATCCTATCTTCTTCTTAATTGGCTATAAAATGTGTCCATAAACAAAAAAAGTATAAGGGTGCAAAGTTTACAAAAAAAATTTTTAAAAAAAAAGACGCTTCAGATATTATAAAAAATCGAAAAATTTATTTATTTCTTTAATTTCGATTGGAAAATGTACAGAAGACGATTCTTAATATTCCAGAATTTTTCCAGATTTTTTCAATTCGATTCTCTACAAAAAAGATGTTAACTTTTTTTTATATCTCTTACCGTTCTCGCTACGTAAGCGATGAAAGGTGGAAAAACGCAATTTGCTAAACTTTGACTCTCGATAAACAATAGTAATTATTGTTTCCGAGTAATGAAAATTTGCACAAATACTCTCCTCATTATCCCCTACAAGAATATCTAACCAAAAAAATTTTTATTATCATTCTATAATTAATGCACAAGTTCACACGGCTACTAGACTATATTGGATGTTGAAGAAGTCAAACCTATTGAATAATGCAGAATTCTATTGAGGTTTGATTAATAATTTAGGAAATTTCTAATAAGTTGTATTATTCTATACAATTGCTCAGTTTCCTATTCAAATATTTTCTTTTACTTCCTATAGAAACTCTCCGTTTCCTATTGGATTGGTAACAACCTTTCAAAATCATTATAATTCTATTCAGTTGATCGCATAGGAAAGTTCGGAATCCAATAGGTTCTATGATCACCATTGTTATACCTATTCAGATTTGTATAATCCTATTAGACATTTTGTGGGTGACAAAAATTTATCATTTTACCCTATTTAAATATGATGTTCCCTATTCAACTTCCGGAAAGCCTATAGGATCCAATCTTTTTTAATAGGTATATTTAAGCAGGGCAGAGACTCACTTGATTGCCAATTGAAGATCAATAACAAAACTTGATCTTTTAGAATGTTTTATATCAACCTGCTTAGCCAGCAGATGTTCCTAGCTGGAAATCATTTAATTGAGATTTGAGAATATCTTATCACTTGGGAACGTGGTCATTTACGTAGTTGATATGTCTCATTTGTGATCAATTGTGGATATAGATCAAGGTATAAGTCAGCAAAAATTGTAAATAAGTTTCCACCGTGACAGAGTTGAAATAGAATTGAGATAAAAATTATAGTGTTTCCACTAGAATCGAAATAAGTTTCCGAGTGTTTTCACCAGGTCGTTGGAGTCGAGATGGGTAGAGATTTTGGAAGAGCTTCAACTCTAAACTTAAGGCTGGGCTGAAGTCAGAGAGGCGACTGATTCCCCCTATCCAAATACATGGGATCGGGATATTTCTAATTTCTTCGCCAATTTACTATTATTTCTATAAAATTAGGTACCAAATTACAGAGGAATTAATGCCGGACTAACGTAAACAACAATTTTTTGTATATACTGAATATTTTTATTAAAAAAATTAGAAAGAATAATGAAAAAATTATGAATTGACTTGCCGCGCTTAAATTCCAAGACGGCGGCCACATCATTCAGAAAAAAAATCACTGATAATTCTATTTTTATACGTTTTTCGCCCAAAATTCGTGTTTGCGTCAGTCCTTGCCACCTGTCTGAATGTCAAAAGAATCAATTCATAGTATAAAATTGAATAATTTAGAAATAATTAGAAATATTGTATTGCCCTATACTTTGATGACTATTGCAGTTAGAATAAATGAAAATGATGATACTCATTTAACATTAATTAATATAATACCTGAAAATAACTTCAACAAATATTCATCCATTATCATCATTTTTATTAGGTATAAATGTTAATCAAGAAGCTCAATTCCAAGTCGGCGTATCCAAGCATGTAGTATAAAAATAAATACACATAAACTCAATATCAAGATTATGCTGGCCATGTGGTTAGAGCGTCAGAGTTCTATTTTGCCGGGCAGGGTTCGATCCCAGTCATAATCACTTTTTTTCTACTTTATTCGTTAGATTAGCATGTAATTACAATATTGACATGCCATAATTATTCCTTTATAACGATTTGATTTTTTTTTCTCTTTACTCATTAAATTTATTGACGCTAAGTCGGAAAATATTTAAACAGAGCCATAAACTTTTTTTTTGTATAAATACATTGATAATAGCCTGTGTTTAACAACTTATACATCTTTACATGTATTAACAATTTTATGTTATTAAAATGTTATTAACAAGTTGATCATATTATCATTAACATTCATTTTTTGGATGAATATATCGTAAAGGGCAAATCAGTTCTGATCAATGGGGAGTCTATTTTCATAGAAAATGAAAGGTGGCATTTAACTGATAACGCGATTCCTCTTAGAGAAGAAAAATGTCAAAATCAGCAATCGATGAATTGCAATCAGGTATTTAACCAATCCCTTAACGTAATTTTTTATATATAAGAAGAAAAAAAAATTAATTAATAAATATTTTTATTCTTAAAGTCTACTGAAGAAGAACAATCGTGTTCGCTATCAGAACAACAAATTTTTGATCAACAAGAGCAAATTCTTCTAGTTGACACTGAAAATTTACAGCCAACAGGACTACTATTGGAGCAGTCTGTTGAGCCATCAGTTTCCCAAATGGAATGCGATGAGGTAAAAAGTTTAAGATAACATTGAAAATTATTAAACTGAAAATATTTGAAAATAAAAATAATTGTTTATTTTTGCAGATTATACCAAATGAAGTGTTGCTAGAGCAAACTGCATCATCTTTATCTGCAGTTTCATTAGCTTTACCAAATGAATTGTCACTAGAGCAAGTAGGATCATCGTTTTCGGCAGTTTTACCAGAACGTTGGTGTTACTATGTACAATCATCGGATATGATTTTGATTCATCTCGATGTAGGTAGCTTGTTGGAAAAATTAAGATTACGAGTAACAGCTGATCTTTCAGTTACGGTAAGAATATAAACGCAATTTGTATGTTTCAATAAAATAAAATTACAATAAATAATTTAAATAAATAGCAAAGAAAAATAAATCATATAAACTAAGAAATAAGTAAATAGACTAAAATTAGATAATTTTAATTAATTACAATAATAAATTAAATTACAATCGAATTTATATAGAACATAATTGAAACAAATTGACTTTAAATATTGTATGTCATTATTCTAGCTTGTAATGCCACATCGATCAGAAATAATTCTCACTGATCGTGTATCATCTATGGAAGAATTGTACGCATCTATGCGTAAAGCAGAATCACTCACAATTTGTTGTGGAACATTATTTGATGAAAATAGGTAAAAATATTTTTAAATACATTTGTTTTATTCTGTTACAATTTTTTTGATATTAATTACAACTGAAAAAATGTATCATAATAGATTTCATCTACATTCACAATTACAAATAATTGATAAGTGTGGTGGATTTCTCATCGTTTTTCCAGATATGCCACCCAGTGTAGTGGAATCATCACACCAAATGAAAATTATCAGCGTCAGCAATTAAATCCTCGCTGTCGAGCGTGCCGCATACTTCGCCAAAGAATACAAGCAAACATGAGATATAAACGCGATTCGACACTTGCTTTTCGTATTAAACGAAAAAAGGAAATTTACCGACAACGATGTCATCGACTTATTAAGAAGGTATGATGTATTTATTTTTTAAATTGTTGTGTCGGCAACCTGTAGTCGTAACATTTGACGTAATATTAAAATTACTTCATATTTGTTACATATTTTATTTTAATATAATGTATTAAATTCCTAATTTATTAACTTCAATAAAATGCAGATGAACATAATAATTTCATTTCATTTTGAACGTATAATTTGTTACTAACTATTACCACAATTAAATAACTTTAATATTTTTTTTTATCATATATTTTATAATATTTCATCATTTTAAGGGTTAGACACCGTAGACTGCTGACCTACCATACTTGACAAAAAACTGATGTACTTCTCACTGAAATATTTAAAAAAAAGTGCAGTCATCTCAGTAATGATGGTCTGTATAAAGTTAAATGAATAATTTAATAATTTCATGATCCATTGTAATAAATGTTAATCGTAATTTGGAAGTATATTTTGAAGATTCGAGCCGCGATTAATAATTTATTGTATTATATTCGAAGTAAACTCTTGGCGTGCTGATTAAAAATATAATTATTATTTTTCAGCAAGAGATATTGCAGCAAAAATTAATGACAGCCAAAAAACGGTGTAGTGAACGTTCTGAAAAAATTTTAAAAGAGCAACTGACGCAATTGCCAGAGTCGCAACAGCTTGCTGTTTGGAGTTGTTTTGAAGCTGCTAAACATAAAAAGGTCAAAGGCCGAAGATACGATTTAGAATGGATCTATGAATGTTTGTCAATCAGGATGAAGGGCAGAAATATTTATAATTTTATTCGGGAACGTAATATTTTACCTCTTCCACACATCAAGACTCTTAATAGATATATTCAAAAAATTAGTTCTTCGGCTTATGGATTTCAACCAGCATTATTTGACTGCATGAAACAAAAAGCACAAGGAATGACACTATCAGAAAGAAGAGGGACTCTTATTATTGATGAAATAAAATTAAGTGAAGCAATAAATTTTGATATCCAAAAAATGAAATTCTCTGGTTTTGTTAATCTCGGACAATACACTTCAGAACGTGAAAAAAATGTTCCAGGGGATCATGCATTAGTTTTTATGTATGTTCCTTTTCGTGGACGATGGTTGCAAGCAGTAGCGGCTTTCATCTCTAAAAATTGTGCTACCAGTGCTGTTCTGCATACATTAATTATTGAGTGTATAATTTTATTAGAAAGTGCTAATTTCTTTGTGGATGTCATTACAAGTGACGGTGCCCAAAGTAATCGTGGAGTGTGGACCAAGTTTGATATTTCAGAGTCCATAATATCTTGTCAGCATCCTTGTGATACAAATAGACAATTATTCATGATATCGGACTTTTCTTATCTAATTAAATGTTTGCGAAACAGTATTAAATTGACTATTAAAATCTCTAAATTAATAACATATTATTTAATATTGTAAAAAAAAAATTATTGTATACATGTTATAAGAAATGTATTTTCTCTATAATTTATATAAAATACATTGGATAAAAATTATATTTTGATATTTTCAATGTTATGTTATTCCTAAAAATAATATAACAATCATGGAAAGTGGTACTTAAGCTAGATAATATAAGTTATTAAAATACCTAATAATTTAACATTAATATAAAATTTAAGTATACTTTAATTATTTTCAATTTCATTCAAACATTGTTCAATTCCTTCAAAAATAGGATTATTAATAATATAATTAATACTCTTGCTATAATAATGTTTAATTTTGTGTTTACTATCAATTTTTTTCTATACAAAAAGTAAATTCAATTTTTTTATATTTTTAATTATGTATTTAAATATACCGGGAATTTCCCCCTCTACCTCGGTAACTTAGCGACCACAGTGCACTCTGCCCGCGAACGTTATTTTTTCAAAATTCCGGCTCAACTTTTATACACAGAGTTTGGACTCCTGTTCTATAGTCTTCATGGTAAAAAAAGCAACAAAAAACCGTGGTCAGTATAGTATGTAGAACCAAGAAAAGAGTGGTCTCGATTTGGTGTCTAATCTCCCGCCTCCTAATGAAATCTGATGGGGACGTGATATTAGACACCAAATCGAGACCACTCTTTTCTTGGTTCTACTATAATTGCTCATCAAGGATACACCAGACAATTATGAAGCCGAGTGTACTTTTGTGCATCAACTGAATTAAAGAAAACTTCAAGCTAAGCATATTTTTTCTTTCAAATAATCACCATATATTTATTCGTACAATACGTATGATACATAATTAGACATAAAATGAAATTAAAATTTTATGAAAATATTCTCTATGACATTCGCAAATTTTCTGGTCTTACTAGAGATTGTGCCGAAATGTTAATACAGAAATATCCCAAGTAAGTTAATGTGTATTGAAATATTTTTTTTAGATGTTTTTTTTCCATTAAAGATTATTTTTCAGTATTCCTGTTAATTCGATACATAGTATTTTATCTATTGAAGTAATAAATCGAGTCAAAAAAAGTGGATATAAGGGTCATGGAACTCAACGTAAATTCTGGGAACGGTAACAAATTGATATTATGTCTTAATTGTTGACCACTAATTTTACATTTCTACTATATAGGTGGAAAAAATCACAACAAAACGGAGAATCATCCGGTATCATAATAAGACTTTCTGCAATGACTAATTTACCTCCGTCATTGGTAGCTCGTTCAATTTTAGAGTATTATTATCAAAGTATTGACCGAAATGGTAATATAAATATTCTGAAATTTACATAAATTAATATAAAAAAAACTTGTAAAAATATTCAATATTTTTATCTAATACAGTTACCAAAGCCAACGTGTACCAATATTTAAAAGATCCCACTCTTATTGACAATCAAGACTTAGCTTATGAAATATACTTGGTAAGATCCATTTTTCATTCGTATCATAAATATAATATTACAATATTATTAAAGTTACCAAAAGACAACTTCAATTAGATTAAATGATCTGAATTATTGAAATTTTTTAAGACCACTTTAAATTATCAAAATATGAACTCTATGCAAACGCCAATTTTTAATATTTCTATAATTATGTTTACTCAGTATTAAACATAAAAAAAAGATTACTCTTTACCACTAGTATTTTTTCAAAAATAATTTTCAAAATAATAGTTTTATTTATTGAGGTTTAATTTTTTTTTTTATCGACTGACTATCTTTTTCATTCAATAGTTATACAAACAAATATTTTTCAATGATATTTATAAATTAAAATTATGTTGACAGAGTATTCTCTATGACGATCGAGATGGACCTGTTTCTCAAGCATTTTCGAAGTAAATATTACACTACTCATTTCTCTAATTTAAATTATTAACGTTACAACTTATTTTGAATCTATAAATGTATAATAATACATTTAAATTTATTAGGGCCATTGGATATGAGTACGAAAGTGAGCTTCAAAACTATTTAGTTAAGCGTGGAATAGCTTATATAACTGAGGATAATTTACGAAGAAAAGGCTATGATAAAACTCCAGATATAAAATTGGAAATTCCAATCGCTATAGATGGTTTTGTAGTAAATTGGATTGAATCAAAAGCTCGATTTGGAAGTCCATCAATACATGCTACTTACCTTAAAAGCCAATTGTTAAGTTACTGGAACCGATTTGGACCAGGTCTCGTTATTTATTGGTTTGATTATGTAGATGAAATTATTGAACCAAATGAAAAAAGATTTATTATTATGAACCATTTTCCAAATAATGTTACTTATATGCATACAGATATATCAGAATAATCACAAAATAATATCTAAAATGAATTTTTTGAAAAATACACATAAAAATAACTCATACAAAAAAAACTTATTTTTTATTTTACATTTAAAAAATTTACAGACGTTATATAGTTTTTTCTTTTTTTTTATTTCTATCAGAAATAGTGTACTTATCGTAACATTTTGTTGGATCAAATGGTTCCCATCTACTGGCAGGAAAAATATGTTTATTCCTTTCATACCAAGACCTACAATTTTGTAATATTTATTGATGATTCTGACACCTTATAATATTAAAAATAAAATCGATTTGTATGTACCTTAATAATACTTTTCCAGCATGTGATTCTTCAGTTTCGACCGATGCATCATGCATCATACGAACATCGTCGTGGACATCAAAAGTAAATAAAGGTCCACTTTTTCCTCGTGCCTATTCAATCAATATATAAATGAAGAACCGAAGGACCGGAAATAAAAGATGAATATATCATACCTTTGATACAATAAAATCATAAAACGTATAATGATGAGGAAGAATTAGGTCTTCTTTAACATACATTAATTGATCAGCCATAACTGTTTTTAGTTCACTAAATTCGCGTCTTAAAATTTCTAAGCATCGTTGCAGAAGTTGATATATAGAATTTCCTGTTCGTAATAAAGTTACATTTGTAATATTGCTAAGAGTTGTTATGATTAGCATTTCTAAATGAAAGAATAGTTAAAAGAAAAAAAGTCAGAAAAGAAATACCTTTTTTCATAATCACACTTTTTCTGTGTCCTGAACCATCCCAGTAACTGAAAGTTATTTCAATTTCTTCTTCTTTCAAAGCATTTTGTTTTATTGCCCATTCTTGTCGTAATTCTTCCCGAATTCTATGTTCTTCATCTTCTCTTTCACGATCTGGCAAAAAACTTGTATCAACGTCGGGATTTTTTTTAATTTTTTTGACAGTGCGAAAAGATTCATCAAAATTTGAAGATATTAATTTATTTTGATCATTTGATAATTGATAATCTGTCGTTGAATCATCATCAGAAATGACTTCATCTTCATTCATATTAAATGATAATGCTCGGATTTGTTTCTTTTGTTTATTTTTTTCAGCTTGTTTAGCTGCTAGAACTCTTTCTTTCTCTTGTGCTTTCTCACGTTCTTTTTGTGCCAATTTTCTTTCTCTTTCTCTTACAATAATTTCTTGTTTAGCTTTCATTTCATCCAAAGTAACGAGTCCAATAGTTGAAGTTTTTAGTTGTTGTTCTACAGCATTGTAATGAGTGGCAAATTTATTTTCAATATTGTGAATTTTCATATCATCTTCAATTTTTTTTTTTCTAAATTCAATTTCTTGTTGAGCTATTTCACGTTTTTTCATTAGTTGCATGGCTCGTCCCGCCTCACTAGCAGCTCCTTTGTAGTTAGCCATGTTTGAAATACAAATGGCTCTTGTCAAACTTATTTAGTATTTTAATTTAAATGATATTTATCGATACTTTATACTATTCCAACTCGTTCCATTTTCTCATTAATCTGACTCGTCATTACGGACTGAGAAGAAAGTTCCTCAGTTGCTTCAATGCTTTTCGGCTCCCCACCACTGATTTCTTACCTCTCTACCACAGGCGATCATTTGTGCCGTATACTTTTGTGCCAAAGCGGTAACTGTACCAGAACTATAGTACTCTAACGATTTCACCATATAAGTATTGTGTCAAACTTCAAGTTTACCAATAGTAAAACTACTACGTCAGTATAATAGGAATAGCTTTTATTATTTATTGGTAAACTAAATCTCTAGTAATTTTATTAAGGCTGGGCTGAAGTCAGAAAGTTTCCCGGAGTTGACTTTACGCCCTCGCGTTGTGCGGCGAAAGGCCGAAGCTCAATTTCAATTGAAATTGAGTAGGTAACAGGGGAACCAGGGAAGGTTCGACAGTGATTGTACCGAACGGCGGCAAAATTTTTTTTTTATTCAAATTGCATGTAATTGCAATTTTATTATGCCAAAAATGAGTTTTAAATTTCAATTTTTATGTGAAATTATTTTTCAATTAATCGATGACAAATGAGACAATATTTGAACAGAGCCATAAACTCTTTTTTTGTACAAATACATTGATAATAGCCTTCTTTGATAACTTATTAACAATAAAGAATAGTTTAAACAATCCGCGGCAAGTTCCGGCACTTTCCCGGCGAGCTCTACCCCCACTCTCTGTGCCCAAGCCTGCAGCTTATAATTCTTAAGCATATACAGTCATATTGGAACCATGATAGCTCAGTGGTTACAGCATCGGTCTTTTATTTTGCTAAGCAGGGTTCGATTCCAGTCATGATAAAGTTTTTTTTTTCTCTTTCATTTGTTAGATTTGCATGTAATTATAATATTAACATGCTAAAATGAATTCTTACTAACGATTTGATTTTTTTTTCTCAATTATTTATGTAATTTATCGACGCCGAGTCGGAAAACATGAACAGGGTTATAAACACTTTTTTTACTATTAGTCCAGTCAAATGAGGGAAATGGGATAATCTTGGTTTGCTGCGGCCAAATTGATGATTTATGGATGACTGGATCGCAAATTTCGCGAGAAACACAATGGTGTAGGTTAAAATTTTTTGGCACGCATAGGGGGAGAGTAAATCGCGAAAAGCCGCCCCGCCCTCGCGAATTTCTCGATTTCTATAATAGATATGAAAAAATGTTTTAAATAAAAGTTGTTCAGAATTGAATTTTAATAAAAAAAGTATTGAACACTTTTTTTCATATCTATGATAAATAAAAAGTTATTCACGACTTGAGCTTCACTATTGACAAAAGCTTCGGTCGCGTCTAAGAAAATTAATAAAAAATACTTAATGTTAGAAATATTACTTTTTGGCGATTTATTTCGAAAAATGAGATATTAAATTTCATTTTTAGAGAAAAATTTTTTTTTTATTAATTTTTTCATTATTTTTATAAACAATGAATTATTTGAATCCTTCTCATTTTGGTTCAAACATGTTCTTGACATATTTGAGAATATGTATGCCAATTTTCGCACGTTTGTAATGTCAAAAACATATATGCAATGAAAAAATGCTTGCCGGGAAAGTGCCGGTACTCGCCACAGATTGTTTGAACTACTTTTCAATGTTAATAATAATATGATTAACTTGTTAATAACATTTTAATAACATAAAATTGTTAATATATGTAAAGATGTATAAGTTGTTAAACACAGGCTATTATCAATATATTTATACAAAAAAAAAGTTTATGGCTCTGTTCAAATATTTTCCGACTTAGTGTCAATAAATTTAATGAGTAAAGAGAAAAAAAAATCAAATCGTTATAAAGGAATAATTATGGCATGTCAATATTGTAATTACATGCTAATCTAACGAATAAAGTAGAAAAAAAGTGATTATGACTGGGATCGAACCCTGCCCGGCAAAATAGAACTCTGACGCTCTAACCACATGGCCAGCATAATCTCGATATTGAGTTTATGTGTATTTGTTTTTATACTACATGCTTGGATACGCCGACTTGGAATTGAGCTTCTTGATTAACATTTATACCTAATAAAAATGATGATAATGGATGAATATTTGTTGAAGTTATTTTCAGGTATTATATTAATTAATGTTAAATGAGTATCATCATTTTCATTTATTCTAACTGCAAGGGAGCGTGACATCCGTCCCCAATAAGATGTCAGTCAAAGGCATTTTTACAATCTTTTAAATTTAAATCTTTAAATGTATAATCTTACTGATTGTTAATCAAATTCTATGATGCCCAGATTTTTTATCTAATGATCATTTTAAAAATAAGCTTTATTCTTTTAATCTTTTAAAATTGGTTTTTTTTATTTTCAATCATTTAATATTCAATCAAATTATAAAAATTTTTTTTTTTAATGTTTATCATTTCGTTGAACAGTCAACTTAAGAAATTAGGACTGGTAAGTTATCTTGCGTCGGTATAGTAGAAAAAAATTCAACTAGTGTCACTGTTTTCTAATAGATGACAGTAATTACACTGTTTTCAATCAAAAATTAAAAATGCTTATACAAAAAAAAGTCTGCTTTCTGGCTCATGTAATGTCATGTAATTCCCACTACATAAATAAGTATATTTAGGCTTATAATCTAATGATAATAACATTTTCATCTTAATGTTAGCGTAATAACGTAATCCAAGTGAAAAAAATTTGAAAACTGAATTATTAAAAAGTTGAAAAACTTCAAAAATAATGTCTGTCAGTATTATTCTCTTCTTTAATAAACATAAACGATTTTCGTGCAACGAAAAAAAAAAAGTTTTATTACTTAAGTTTTTATAAAAATAAATCAGTATTTTTAATGAATACCTTAATTTAACTGAATTTAAATATAAATATAATATGAATATAAATTTATTAATAAATTTTAATATAAATCACTACTTAATTCAATTATTTTAAAATAAAATAATCAGGGTCAATTAAAGAATTCAAAAATCCTTCCTGAAGTTATAAGTATAACTTTTATTTATATTTAAGAAAGTTTACATTTGCTGGTATCTCTTTAACTTTGGTTTTCTACACTTCCAAATTATGAGCCACGTTGTCTCAGCTCCCGTCGAATATTTGTGCGTTCAACTACTGCCTACAAATATTCTGACAATGTCATCCTATATATAAATTGATATTATAACAAATTATTTAAATTTAATATAAAATGATTGAATAAATTAACAAATTATATAAGTACCTTCCATTTCTCAAGGACTCTTGTAAATTATTAATGTACAAGTCAATTGTATGTTGAATTGCTCGAGAATGATTTTGTCGTGTAGTTTTATTCATTATTCTACAATATTCAATGTCACTGTCACAAATTATGTTTATTAATCGATCTGAAAAATGAAATTTAATTCAATTTAGAATTATGAATATGTATAAATATATATATTAAATGTGTTTTAATATTTACCCAAAAAATTACTTTTTTGTGTTAAAACTAATTGTCGTGTGAACTAAATTGAGTAATAATAAAAATTTAATAGGATCTTGATTTTATTTCTCTTTAATATATAATTTATTTGTGTGTAAATTTATTTTGTTTTTTAAAAAATATGTCATTAATGAAAAAAGAGTTTGAAATAAAAATTATATTGAAAAAAAACCTGTTTAAAAAATTTCATTACACAATGGAAGAAACTAACTTTATTAGAAAAGTTAAACTAAGCGTAAATTAATGATACAAATAATATATTTTATTTTATTTATAATTACGATAATACTAGAAGACTGTCTTACTGATAGTCAATTAAAACACAAACTAACTGAAGAAATAGCAAGTAATTCAGTAACTTAAATGATTGATGAAACAAAAAAAGGAAATATATTGAAGAAAAATTCAATTTAAAAGTAAAGTATTTTTTTATTATTTTGAATTGTGTAATTGATATTGTAAAGAAATTAACTCAATATAACTTGATGTGGTATATCTCTAACGATGAAAAATATCGATATAAGTAATTGGTTTTGAAGAAAATTATGCTCCATTTCAAGAAGATCAATCTAATATTTATTCTTGGTAAGTAAAGTTGCTATTAAACAATTCAAAATTTAAAATCATATAAGCATTTGTAATTTTTGATTGAAAGCAGTGTGATTACTGTCATCTATTAGAAAACAGTGACACTAGTTGAATTTTTTTTTCTACTATACCGACGCAAGATAACTTACCAGTCCTAATTTCTTAAGTTGACTGTTCAACGAAATGATAAACATTAAAAAAAGAAAAATTTTTATAATTTGATTGAATATTAAATGATTGAAAATAAAAAAAACCAATTTTAAAAGATTAAAAGAATAAAGCTTATTTTTAAAATGATCATTAGATAAAAAATCTGGGCATCATAGAATTTGATTAACAATCAGTAAGATTATACATTTAAAGATTCAAATTTAAAAGATTGTAAAAATGCCTTTGACTGACATCTTATTGGGGACGGATGTCACGCTCCCAACTGCAATAGTCATCAAAGTATAGGGCATTGTAAAGCGATACACTATGTTTACATGACATACATATATTACCCGTACACACTCATACACAAATTACTCACCAAAATGCAGGGCACCATCAGTTCTGGATACGGATTGAGCATTTTTTCAATATGGATGACTGAGGTCATCTGCGAGCATAATGCTGTCACCTATCAGAATTTTTTCAAACTAATTTTCCGGAGAATATCATCTGGAATACAAGATTTCTAATTATTTCTAAATTATTCAATTTTATACTATGAATTGATTTTTTTAACATTCAGACAGGTGGCATGGACTGACGCAAACACGAATTTTGGGCGAAAAACGTATAAAAATGAAATAATTAGTGATTTTTCATCTGAATGATGTGGCCGCCATCTTGAAATTTAAGCGCGGCAAGTCAATTCATAATTTTTTCATTATTCTTTCTAATTTTTTTAATAAAAGTATTTAGTATATACAAAAAATTGTTGTTTACGTCAGTCCGGCATTAATTCCTCTGTAATTTGGTACAGTACTGGACATAAATGCTGTTTAGTTTTCGAAGGTTATACATGCGATTTCTCTATACCCTCTTATAGAAAATCACACAGCATTTATGTCCGGTACTGTACCTAATCTTATAGAAATAATAGTAAATTGGCGAAGAAATTAGAAATGTCCTGATCCCACGTATTTGGATAGGGGGAGTCAGTCGCCTCTCTGACTTCAGCCCAGTCTTAATGTCGCAATAGAACGCTCAGTACTAACTGCGACCACACATGTCGCAGCGGTCCAAATGAGTAGGGGGACGGCGAAATTATACAAGAACTAGAAAAGTTTTTTTTTGATTTTAGGTTGGCCGTAGTGTATTAAGAGCATTGACTATACACAATGTCACAAGAAGACTTCTCTGCTCGAAAGTAATACACTGAACAGGAGGTTATTTGTTTTGTTCAATATTATGCCGCAATGAGTGCTATCATGTGTTATTTTTTTAGTTGTAGTTGTCTTTCTAATAAATAATTGTTTATTAAGTGGGGATAATGAAGAAGAACAGAAATGTGACGGTTTATAACCAACAAACTTACAAATGTGATGTTTATTTTTAAATTTATTAAGTAATTATTTGACATTAGCATTTAAAATGCTAATTATAATGAAAATTTATTACATTTATTTAATTATATATAAAAGAGGTTAAGACTTGAAATTAAAGTGAGTTGTGTGGTGTTATATTTTATTATAACTGAATTATATATTACATATTTATATTGTAAATTCAATTAACCTATAAAAAATTAATTCATTTCTTATCTCTAATTTTAAATTTCTAAAAAAAATTTCAATTTTCAACTACCAAAGAAGTCTTTTTCTATATCAAAATTTATTGGAACTAGTAAATACGTCGAAAAAAAAACTAATTTATAATTTTTATAATTGTATAGTACTCTGGATTCCAACAATCTGCTGAAAAGTGTACTATTTGTGGTCACCTTATAATGGAAATGGTACGTAAAATTTAATTTTCTAAAAGATCATTTATTTCTAATTGAATTAACACTGTATTGTGTGTAAATAGATCAACACAAATTTTTTTGTAACCATTTAAATAATAAAATTCTTCTTTCAGATTCTCCAAGTTATGGGAAAATCTTATCATCTTGGATGCTTTAGATGCTGCATATGTAACGAATGTCTTGACGGAGTTTCTTTTACCGTCAACGTTGATAATAAAATTTATTGCGTTAATGATTATCACATAATGTTTGCACCAAAATGTGCATCAATTGTAAAGGAATTACTCCAGTTGAGATCAATATATAATAAAAATACAACTTTATAAAATTCTTCCTTTTATCTGAAAGAACAAAAAATCATTTCCTGTTTATTTAATTATTTTAATTTCGTAAATCTTATTTAAACGAAATTGACTCATTCAGGGTACAGAGGAAATGGTCAGAGTTGTATCAATGAATCGAGATTTTCATGTTGATTGCTACATATGTAAAGATTGTGGTATGCAATTGACTGATGAACCAGATAAACGTTGTTATCCTTTAGATGGACGATTAATGTGTCGCTCATGTCACATTGAACGTATTTTACATACTCAACCACGTGTTCCACAGCCGGTTTCAGCAACTTATCAGTACATGGGCTAAAAATTCACTCAAAAATCAATTTATTCTCTATTGTGACATTTCATCATTTTTACTTAATCAAATAATCTAATTATCGATATCTAAATAATCGGAATCATTTCAGAATATTTTATTAATTAATATTTCCATGTACTGATAGTATGTGAATTAAAAATATGATCTGAAGTGTAGATATACCTATATATAAATAATCATACAATAATAATAATTATAATAATAGTTACTACTCCATTATAACAAATAGTAATTGTTTTTATTATAAATATAATGAATTTTATAATAGCATTGAACTAATTCTGCAAGTAGTTTGAATTTTTATTTTTCAATGAATTTTAACTATACACTATCTATCATATTTATACGTACAAGTGTATTTATTAAATTACTGTTGACTGTTAACTGTTTTAATTTCCGACAAAGATAGGGTTGCGAAAACAACTGTGATACGATAGCATAATTGACATTGAATTAATTAGTTTGTTTATTACTTGATAAACCAATCATGACAATAAATATTATAATTGTAATCGTTATTATTACATAGAAATGATAAACTATTGTGTATTAGTTTAAAATTCAAACTGCGTTTTATTTTAAATACGTTATACATATTTTAAATTAATAATTCGTTAATTAATTATTGACATAAAGATCTAATGTACTTGTGTTAATAAGTAATATTGATAACTATCATCATTCCTGCATTGAGTAGCATAAGTAATCGAATTACTTGCACTTATCAGTAGATAATAATTGCGATATGAAATTAATATCGCTCTAGTTGTATTTTATTAGTCGAGGAGTGTTTTAATCATTGAGGGTAACATTTTAAATCAAATAAAATAATCTTTTAGTAAATTAGAAAAATTTAAGAAAACAAAAATACGTAAGAAGACAATTGAGACCAAAATATAAACATGAAAATAAAAGACATCAACATTTTATTTACTATTGTAATTTTTTTATTTAATAGTTGCAGATTTCTTTATCTATACATTAGTTTAGCCACTGATAATGTACACAAATTGTTTTTAAATCAAATAAAATTCACTGCCGCAAAAAAGTAATGTGTCAAAAACATTTTTACCAATAACAGCATATTGCATAATAACAGCTCGATGTGAAGTACAATGTTTAAATCTTAAAGCATCTAACTAATCGTAAATATTAATAACATAATAAACTCCATAATTTGTTGCTCGAAATTCAATTTTGAGAATTCAGCAAAACGGTAAATATCCGAAGCACGTGCTTAAATCACTATCTGAAAGAAGTGAAATATGCAAGTATCTATTATCTGCTCTTTAAATCTTTTAATTACAAAATATTTACTTGAAAGAAAACTGAAAATCTTTTTTTATTCAATAACTACGAATTCTTTAGTTCTAGCTTACATTACCAGCAATTGTTTCTGAATGCTACATTGTTGATTCTATCTTGGACATCTTTATAGTTCGTTGTAATGGTTTTTTCTTTCCGCCAATAGTTGTATACACACCTGGTTTATAAGCATCTGGTAGAGCTGCTTTATGTAGCAGTAGTATTTTTTTTTTGTTATTTTTCTGTAGAAAACGTCTTCGGATATATTTTATCATTTCTATCGTGTCAGAAACATTTTCACCAATAACAACATACTCATATTCTCCGTAATACTCACTATCTTCAACATATTTAGTTTCAATGTTATTCATATGCTCTCTAATAATTTCATTTTCTGTGTCTATCAATTTTTTGATGCAATTTAAATTATTTATCTGTGATAAAATGATATTTGCTGCATTTGGATCTCGTGAATTAATATTCTTTATGGCTTTAGAAAAATCATCTATTTCTTTATTGCTTTCACGTGTATGTTTTTTACATTCTCTACTTCGGTAAGTGCTTGTTTCAACACGAATCTTATCCATACGTGCAGCTAATAATAATTGTTTTATAGTAGCTGGTGAAAAAAAATTTCAATGAAAAAAACGTAACAAATAATAATATATGAGAATAATACATTTACTTACTAATAAATTGAGCTGGTACAGGATTTTTAGGTAATTTTGAATTTAATTGTTTGTGGTATGACTCAATATTATTGTTAGTTCTGTCACTCACATTATTCACTGAAAATTCTGAAGGAGTAATTTTTTTTATCCAGAATTTCTCAAAATATACGAAGAAATTTTTGAAAAAATCACCAAAATCTTTCAAACAATTTTTTTTACATTGTTGAAATGTGATTTCAATTTGAGAAGGTTCCAATAGTGCTAATGATATGATTTGTTTTAAAATTATAAAGATATCTGGATCTGTGAATTTATTGTGTTGTGATGAAATTAATTTTAATTTTCGAGCTCTCTTCATTATTGCCTGAAAATGAGAAAAATGTGAAAACACATACATATATTTGTGAAATAAAGAGGAAAATCTTGAAAATAAATAAAGAGATTTCAAGTTAATGACCCACTTGGGAATAATGAAAGTAACAATGTGTCGCTTGGATATTTGGATAAGTTGCTTCTATTGCATTTCCTACGGCTACTTCATAATCGCTCATGTATCGACTGGGAGAGAAAGTAGGAAATCGTTTTTGAATATGTTTAAATAATTTGTCATAGCATTCCGTTGTTTTATGTGTCATTAGTACCCACATACATGGAACCGCCTGAAAATCGTTAATAAACATGAAAAAAAATATCCCTTCATTAAGAGTATTTTGAGCAAGATCAATGAATTTTTTCAACTTTTAATAAAAGGATACTGAAAACAGGTACGTAAAAAATAAAAATAAGATGAAGATTCTTAATACAATTTTATAAAAGTCATATTTTTACTCAAAGTTTGTCAATTTCAAATGGAGAAAATCAAAATTACAGAAACGAGTGCTTTTGAACATTAATTATACTTCTTATTTAAGAATGAAGTTATCATTAACTAGGAAGTACAGTTTTTCAGTGAAAAAGAATTCACAATTTCAATAATTCAAATAGTTAAACAATTAAGAAAATATCATTTTTATTTCATAATAATAATTACACAGCATACCTTGCATTCTTTTGTTGATTTATTCTCTATTTTAACCATAATAGTTAGTAATTGAGTTATTTTCTCTTTTAATTGAGGGATGCAACGAAAAGTACCGTCAATAAAAAGATGTTGTTCTTGTATTGAACAAATATTTTTGAAGAACTCTTCATCGTATAAATATAAATTTGATGCTACTGATCCATTTTTTATTTCCACTTGTTCTAAATAGCACTGTATGTGATGTTTCATTTGTTCACCATATTGCAGTAAAGCACTTTTTTCAACTGAAGTGAGGGATTCGATTAATTTTATTAAAGTGTTAGTTTTTGGTGGTAATTTTGTCTGCTCCGGTTGCGATTTAGCGATCATTTTTTGAATTGTTCTACGTACATTACAGGATGGTGTATCTGTTGCTATATCATTGTTCCTGCAACATCATAGAATTTTATTATTCATTTTATATCATAAAATATTAATTAACATGAATGGCAGGTTTATCAAATTGCAAAATTTTATCTTAAAATAGTACATATATTATTCTAATGTATATATGTTTCATCATACTTTATGTGATCGACCAATACTATTGGAGCGCTTCTCTTTTATATTGGTTTTACAACCAATCATGTTCGATTCAAACACCTCTATAATGATATATAAATGAAATGAATAAATAATGTTCTTTTTAATTTTAAGTCAATCATGAAAGAATTATGCTAATTATAAATTTTACAAAATTCTTAGTTGAACTTAACATTTACTAAATGTATTGTTGATCATCTGAGCCTAAATATCTCAATATAGAATTTTATTAACTCCGAAATTCCAGTCATATCACTGAGTGCTTCAAACTGAAGGTATGTATATTGTGATAATGATAAAATACTTACTCTATTAAAAAGGCTGTAGTGTAAATTTGCCCTGCATTTATTCCGCGTATTGCACTCAAATCCTTAGCACGTTTATAAGTTGCCCATCTTTGAAGCAGTAATGGATCAGGAGCATCTTGGTGATTATCATTTTTTGGATGAAAAACGTTATCAATAAAGCACCCAGTTACTGGACAGTGATAAGCTTTATTGTTTTTTTTAATGCATGCAACAGATCTATAAAAAACACTCAATAATTTCAAGTAATGGGATTAATTAATGGATGATAAATATTAGCAAATTATTGTTCTGCAAAGTTGATGGATGAGCAAACGATATTATATTACAATTTTTAGTGTGTTCCCGGAAACAGTGTATTTGAACATACAACTTTTTAGAATGTTAGCGGATGTTAAAAATGTTTGAAAAATGTTAAATCAAAGTTAATTATTATTATAATTATACTTAAACGAATACTAAATTTCTCTTACGTGACAACTGCACCATCTTTTCTTTTATGCTCGGACAGTTTATAATAAGAATAACCCTCATTAATCCACTTTCCATCACCTTTTTTTCCATCTCTTTTTAGTTTATCCATAATAAAATTCTTTAAATTCTTTTAATTTGAAATTTACACTAGTAAAATTTATAAATAATCAAAAAACTGTAACTAATCAATAACATTAACGATGATTAAAACTAATAAAAAAACCTTTAAGTAAAAACTAACACTAGCGATAATTACAATTAACAAGATAACGTTAATTAACAATTAATAATGAACTTTAATAAAACGTCTATGATGTTTACAATGTTTTTATAAAAAAAAATCTTTTATTGTACCACTTTTTAGATTAAATTGTCACTTAAAGAATTTCGTCCTATGACGACACAAAAACAAATGAAATATTATTATTTTCTTCGTTTCGCGTCTTCAAATTGTGAGACGCTTGTGTCTCACAATTTATGAGGGAAAGTATTTGAATCGGCGTGTAAATAGTGTAATAAATTATCAGATTTTGAATCAATTTGTAAGAAACGAGTTCAAAATAAAATGGTGATAAGAAGGTATAGAAAATAAGATTATATTCTGTTTTTATTATCAATGATGAATCTGATAAATCGGTTAATTGCTGGTAATGTAAGCTAGAACTAAAGAATTCGTAGTTATTGAATAAAAAAAGATTTTCAGTTTTCTTTCAAGTAAATATTTTGTAATTAAAAGATTTAAAGAGCAGATAATAGATACTTGCATATTTCACTTCTTTCAGATAGTGATTTAAGCACGTGCTTCGGATATTTACCGTTTTGCTGAATTCTCAAAATTGAATTTCGAGCAACAAATTATGGAGTTTATTATGTTATTAATATTTACGATTAGTTAGATGCTTTAAGATTTAAACATTGTACTTCACATCGAGCTGTTATTATGCAATATGCTGTTATTGGTAAAAATGTTTTTGACACATTACTTTTTTGCGGCAGTGAATTTTATTTGATTTAAAAACAATTTGTGTACATTATCAGTGGCTAAACTAATGTATAGATAAAGAAATCTGCAACTATTAAATAAAAAAATTACAATAGTAAATAAAATGTTGATGTCTTTTATTTTCATGTTTATATTTTGGTCTCAATTGTCTTCTTACGTATTTTTGTTTTCTTAAATTTTTCTAATTTACTAAAAGATTATTTTATTTGATTTAAAATGTTACCCTCAATGATTAAAACACTCCTCGACTAATAAAATACAACTAGAGCGATATTAATTTCATATCGCAATTATTATCTACTGATAAGTGCAAGTAATTCGATTACTTATGCTACTCAATGCAGGAATGATGATAGTTATCAATATTACTTATTAACACAAGTACATTAGATCTTTATGTCAATAATTAATTAACGAATTATTAATTTAAAATATGTATAACGTATTTAAAATAAAACGCAGTTTGAATTTTAAACTAATACACAATAGTTTATCATTTCTATGTAATAATAACGATTACAATTATAATATTTATTGTCATGATTGGTTTATCAAGTAATAAACAAACTAATTAATTCAATGTCAATTATGCTATCGTATCACAGTTGTTTTCGCAACCCTATCTTTGTCGGAAATTAAAACAGTTAACAGTCAACAGTAATTTAATAAATACACTTGTACGTATAAATATGATAGATAGTGTATAGTTAAAATTCATTGAAAAATAAAAATTCAAACTACTTGCAGAATTAGTTCAATGCTATTATAAAATTCATTATATTTATAATAAAAACAATTACTATTTGTTATAATGGAGTAGTAACTATTATTATAATTATTATTATTGTATGATTATTTATATATAGGTATATCTACACTTCAGATCATATTTTTAATTCACATACTATCAGTACATGGAAATATTAATTAATAAAATATTCTGAAATGATTCCGATTATTTAGATATCGATAATTAGATTATTTGATTAAGTAAAAATGATGAAATGTCACAATAGAGAATAAATTGATTTTTGAGTGAATTTTTAGCCCATGTACTGATAAGTTGCTGAAACCGGCTGTGGAACACGTGGTTGAGTATGTAAAATACGTTCAATGTGACATGAGCGACACATTAATCGTCCATCTAAAGGATAACAACGTTTATCTGGTTCATCAGTCAATTGCATACCACAATCTTTACATATGTAGCAATCAACATGAAAATCTCGATTCATTGATACAACTCTGACCATTTCCTCTGTACCCTGAATGAGTCAATTTCGTTTAAATAAGATTTACGAAATTAAAATAATTAAATAAACAGGAAATGATTTTTTGTTCTTTCAGATAAAAGGAAGAATTTTATAAAGTTGTATTTTTATTATATATTGATCTCAACTGGAGTAATTCCTTTACAATTGATGCACATTTTGGTGCAAACATTATGTGATAATCATTAACGCAATAAATTTTATTATCAACGTTGACGGTAAAAGAAACTCCGTCAAGACATTCGTTACATATGCAGCATCTAAAGCATCCAAGATGATAAGATTTTCCCATAACTTGGAGAATCTGAAAGAAGAATTTTATTATTTAAATGGTTACAAAAAAATTTGTGTTGATCTATTTACACACAATACAGTGTTAATTCAATTAGAAATAAATGATCTTTTAGAAAATTAAATTTTACGTACCATTTCCATTATAAGGTGACCACAAATAGTACACTTTTCAGCAGATTGTTGGAATCCAGAGTACTATACAATTATAAAAATTATAAATTAGTTTTTTTTTCGACGTATTTACTAGTTCCAATAAATTTTGATATAGAAAAAGACTTCTTTGGTAGTTGAAAATTGAAATTTTTTTTAGAAATTTAAAATTAGAGATAAGAAATGAATTAATTTTTTATAGGTTAATTGAATTTACAATATAAATATGTAATATATAATTCAGTTATAATAAAATATAACACCACACAACTCACTTTAATTTCAAGTCTTAACCTCTTTTATATATAATTAAATAAATGTAATAAATTTTCATTATAATTAGCATTTTAAATGCTAATGTCAAATAATTACTTAATAAATTTAAAAATAAACATCACATTTGTAAGTTTGTTGGTTATAAACCGTCACATTTCTGTTCTTCTTCATTATCCCCACTTAATAAACAATTATTTATTAGAAAGACAACTACAACTAAAAAAATAACACATGATAGCACTCATTGCGGCATAATATTGAACAAAACAAATAACCTCCTGTTCAGTGTATTACTTTCGAGCAGAGAAGTCTTCTTGTGACATTGTGTATAGTCAATGCTCTTAATACACTACGGCCAACCTAAAATCAAAAAAAAACTTTTCTAGTTCTTGTATAATTTCGCCGTCCCTGAGTAGGCTGTAGATGGAGTGGCCAGCAGTCGTTGATCAAACTTGATTCGCGGCTATTCATTAGTTTAATCGACAAGCGGTCATTTGTGCCGTATACTTTTGTGCCAAAGCGGTAACTGTACCAGAACTATAGTACTCTAACGATTCTACCATATAAGTATTGTGCCAAACTTCAAGTTTACCAATGGTAAATGTACTACGTCGGTATAATAGGGATAGTTTTTATTTTTTATTGATAAACTAAATCTCTAGTAATTTTATTAAGATAATGTATATAATCTTTTTTAATTTTAGATAAAATAATGTTTACAAAAGCGCACTGTTTTACATTTACTTGACTTCTAATAATGATTGAGTTAATAAATTTTTTCTTAATTTATGTATTTGATTTATTTAACTAATTCGTAAGTTCCAAATATAACTTTAATATGTAAATAAAAATAAATATAAATTTTATGATTCAACAACTTGCCCTTTAGTAACTGGAGCTTGTATGAAATACAGGTATATTTATGATAATACAGCTAATTAATTAATTTTGGGTCAGTCTATATTTTATCTAATGAGTTCTCATTTCATTTTCTAAGCGTTCTCTAAGATAATGGTTTATGGAGTTGTGATAATTGTACCCTTGATGACTTAGCGGAATTAGAACAATATGAAACATATGAAGCTCCAAGAAGTCCAGCATCTTGTATTGGAGTTGTAATAAGTGTTCCTTCTTGAGAGTCCAAACTTCTCTCTTCAGCAAGATCTTTATCATATCGTAGATCTTTTTCTAAAGTCGATACTTCCAATTATTTAGGGATCGACAATGAATCAAATTTACTGGATAGTGATTAGTGATCAATTACGAAAACTTTGCGATCTTTTATTGAAAGAAAAATACTTTTATGTGTACGTTGATAATGAAATCAGATATAATATTATAAATTCAATTATTGATGCAGCTTTCAACTATTTATGGGACTTGAAACGAGATGAATTATACTGGTCAAGAATAAAAAACTATATTTAATTTTTTTAAATAAGAATTTCATTTTGTGTAGAATTAAGGTTTTTAATTATTGCAAGCCATTTTACTTATTGATCGAATAGAAACATAGATTTTTGATACCATCTAAAGAAAAGTTTATGAAATAAGAAAAAAGCAATAGATTAAAAAAAAATCATTTAAATAGATGAAAAAATTATAAAACTGTATTCACGAACAAAATTAAATAAATCACGAGCATCATAATGTCATAATTTATTCATAATTATTTGCTGTTTAATTTACACATTCAATTAATTAATTATATTTACAACAAAAGGTTCATGTTTCATTAAAACTTTCCTTTTATTAAAATAAAATCTTATAGCCTAACAAAAAATGCTAATGTAAATAAAATGTATAAAAGAAAATTGTGTTTTTTAAAAATGCAGCAGTGGAGGTAAACAAAAATGTAATAAAAAATATACAAACCGTGCATTATAATAAAAGCTGTTTCTAAAGTAATTTTATTTTAACTGCATCAGTGCAGTTTTTTTCATTTACGAAATGTTATTATATTTTTTCAAGACTATATTAGAAAAAGTAAAGTAGAAATAAAATTTCGGTTACTAGTATTACAGTATTAATGTAAGAAATTTCCGATATCGTAATCATAAAAAAGATATTTATAGAGAAATAATATAATCTTTGGTCAAGTTATGATTGTGCCTTCGGTCTTTAGGTCAGTTATACTTTAGGCGAGTATATTATATTCCATTATTTATAACAGACATAAATATAATAATTTATGAATTTTTAACGTGCAATCACATCTATTTTTTCCATTTATATACGTATATACATGTGTACGTGTATGTAAGAGATATTAAAATCATACATTTGAAATAGGTACTCGAGAAAAATCAATTATTCAACAACAAATAAGCTATATTTTTTCATTATCTTGGCCACCATAATTGATGCATTATTTCTATGTCAGTAGACGAATGAAATTATACGAGTTTTAATGATAATTATATAAGTTTATTTTAATTCAATACAGTGATAAATTGTAATTTAGGTAAGCAAAAATTCAGATATTAAAAAAAGCGAGCAATGTTAAAAGTTTTATACTGCTCTATAATGTTTAAGACATCATACAGTTTTTGTTTTAAAAAGAATCATTAAAAATTATTTACGACTTTTACATAACATTGTTGAGTTTAAATTCTTTTAAATAATAATGAAAAAATGAACAAACTCACAATATTTCTATATAGTTCGAGTTAATTCAACATTTTTAGCATAATAACGTTTTATTTGTAAAAAAAACTATTATTATTGAATATAGATCAAGAGATGTGAAATAAATGAAAGAGCGCGTACTTATTGTAATATACTTGCACCATCTATTTTCGTTCTGCAAATAGGGCAGGAAGGCTTGAAGGAAGCTTTCTTTTGTTTTCTCAGGCTATCCATTATATCTTTGCCTGCTTTGCATCTAAAGCAGAGACAGGCATGTTGACATGGAGTCAGATAAATTTTTGCTGTATTTATGAGACAATGACAGCATACATTGTTATCCTCTGTAGCTTCTTCGTCTTGTGAAAAATTTAAAATATCTAGTTCACCGTAGATATCAACGTCTTCGGGTATAGACACCTCTGAAGAAGTATTTTCTGATTCCGTATCTAAAAAGAAGTGATAATTATCAATATTCTATGGTCATTTTTTGAGCATTTTTTTAATAATATTATTTGTTACCATTATTGGAATCATCAGTGTGTGCACTTGCGTATGCACTTGTAGATGGATCTGGATGTGTACTTGTAAATGGACCTGAATATGTACTCGTAGATGGACCTGAGTATGCACTTGTAGATGGATCTGGATGTGTACTTGTAGATGGACCTGAATATGTACTCGTAGATGGACCTGAGTATGCACTTGTAGATGGACCTGGATATGTACTCGTAGATGGACCTGCGTGCGAAACAATTGAAATTCTTGATCTCGAAGTATTTAGTTCATCTTCATTCCGATGACGGTAACAACGACGAGCTCCCCCGGTGCGTCTATTATATTTACGACGAGGTTGAATTATTAATGGATCTTGGTATGGCTGTATCCTAGGAGGATCTTCAAGATCATCAATATGAGGGAAATCAATAGGGTTTCTTGTGTTTTCATCTAGGCGAAAAATCAATTAATATTAATTAGAGTTTAATTAATAAATCAATTAAATAAAATTTATAAATTTTTACCATTAAGTCTTGAATTGTTCTCTTCGATTTTATTTTTTAAATTCCTGTTTCTCATGGATGTTAAAAATTCTCGTATGGTTAGTCTAAATTTGAAACATTAAAATTTCTAAAATTAGTTTTTTACAAAGTAAAAAATCAGATCTTACAGTTTTTTAGAGTTGGCAGTAAGATTCAAGTAGAGTCACCTCAAATATATTCACCTGTTATTGTCGAAATCCTGTTGGAGCTGTAGAATATAAGAATCGATCACAGCTTGATTGTTTCTTCGCCTTTGCCTTAAGTAAGTTCCTGAATGAATTTGTTCTAGAACGCTCTCTTGTTGTTCTATAACGATTATGAGTTTATCTAGAAATAAAATTATAATAATAATAATATTATTATTAGTGATTAGTGAAATATTATAAATCATTTATGAAAATGTACTTAAAAGAATTTACCAATGAAATTAAATAAATCAGGAAATGGACCTCCTAACTTATTCACTAACTGACGGTTGAAATTTTCGGCAATATTATTAGTACGAACTGACGAAGCTCGTACTGATACGTAGTTTTTAAGTGGTACCCAAGTACGTTCCAAATACCTCATAAAAATTTCAATTGTTTCAAAATCATTTTCTATTCTTCTCGCTTCCGTACGAAGTACATTCAATCCATCCTCAAAGTGATTCGCCGGAAGTAAAGGGAGAGCCCATGTCATCTCAAGTATATTTGTATCTGCATTGTTTAAATGTAGATTCCTCCATTTCCTTGTAACGGCCTAAATATAGCCAAAAATAATAAAAGAACAATATTTGTAAATTATCGAAAAAAAATATTAAAAATAAATTTTTTTTTAGCAACAACACTCACGCGAGTGAAATGAAACCAGCAGCCTCGGATACAGATAAGTGGAAAAGTTTGGCGTAATGAAGCAATCAACGCTCTTTCATAATCGGTTATGGCTACTTGTAAATTAATTATTAATCTTGGTGCCATCTCTATGAGCTTTGTCCATATAGCATTATACAATGCTGTAGTTCTGCGTTCACATAAGATAAATACGGCAGGAATGCCCTAAAAAAATAATAAAAATTATCAATGAATTATAACATTGAACCAGCTTCAATTAGCTGACTTGGTAAGTTTACAAGTTTATCAATAATTAATCAATTAGTAATAATTAAAATAACATTAACAAATTTAATAACATATAAATGAATTTACAATGTCTCTTTGTCTAAGATGGATGATGAACAATTGTGAACACCGAGGATAATAGGGAATGCACTAAAAAAGAATAAAGATTAACTCTTTTTGTTCAACTATAAATGTATATACACCTGCACAATAATTTATACCTTAAAAGTACCATCCATGTGTAATTCAGATGCTTCATTGAGTGAATTGATAAAAGTTTGGCTAGCAAATATAATTGCAACACTTCCATCAGTTCCATGGACTGCAGCTCTAAATATTGGAAATACTGGAACATATCGTTGCAGCATTTCCTCCAAACCATGAATTGTTGGTGGAATTGGGGGACGATGTCGTCTCCGTTCTCGAATCACGTGCATACATCTAGCTTCAGGTCTTATCAAGTGAGTTATATCTCGAAATCTAGAATATTTAGTAAGTTAAAAATATTGCAATTTCCTACATACGTTCAGTAAAAAAAATTAAGTGTGAACAAACGTAATATTAATGAAACGCTTCAAAAGATAACAGTAAGATAATTAAAAAACATTTACTTACCTCCGGGATACCTCTAAATAGACTGCATTTGGTGGTAAAAAACTTTCTCTAGCCATCCTTTTTAACTCAAAAATCATCTCACGCAGCCTAATCTCTTCTTCAATATTATTTTCAGGGTGTTCATGGTCGCCAAATACGTCGACACTTCCATCACTGCGTTCGATGGCAGTTACCGGACAACGAAATTCGGAATTCCGGTGTTGGCAAATATATCGCCATTCATTAGAAATTATATTTGAATTCCGATGATATCGTGAATCTCTATAGTAGATAAAATTTTCGTAAGCGAATCTAAAAGTTCCTGGACGTTGTCCTTGAAATCTTTCCATGGTGCGCAGAAAAATTTTTGCAACGCTAAGAAAGAAATAATTTTGTATATGTCGAAATAATTATTATCGAATAAAAATTATAATTAAAATACATTCACTACATTACATATTAATTAAATAAACTTACTGCACTACTTTTTCTTCTTTTCCTTTCTTTTCTTTGTATATTTCATCCACCATTTATTAAACTAAAGAATGATCGTTAAAATGACCTTATCAAAGAAGAGGAGGGCACGAGAGAATAATTTTTGCGACGCAATTTCGGATTGGCGGGATAATAAATTTGAAATGTCTAGCTCCTTTTATAACCAGGAATCGGTAAGTAGTTATGATTTATATTTACTCGTAAATATATAATGCTTTAATGCCTTTAAAAATAATGTAAATATATTTATTAGGTGAAATTTAGTATCTGCCAAGTAAAAAGAAATAAAGAATTAGTGGCAGTCAACATATCTTTATTGAATTCTAGTGGTGAAAAATACAATATAGTAATTAAGTTATCACTGGAGATTCATGTAATGGTTTTATTGCTGCTCTTAAAAGTTTTGGTTTTATTGAAACAGTAAATCATGGAAAAAAAATATTTTTCCAGGTAATATTACCTTCCAGTAATATATATTACTTAAGCAGTAGTTCTATTTCAACAATAATTAATTTAGTGTTTGTAATTGTATAAAAATATATACGCATACTTTCTTTAGTACGTTTGAAGGAGATGCAAATACTTTAGACCTAAGCACTGAAGTTAAATCTACCATAGGTGTAGGAAATGGAAGTGGCACAGGTGGTTGTATTGCAGCTGAATTGGTACGTTTAATACCACTTGGTACAATTCCACGTGCTACACCTGTCAGTGCAGTTTTTGATGGTACTGTAATTCGACCATTACGCTGTGCTAATCCTGAACAAATTGAATATGCCGAATTCATAGAACGTGTCATTAGTTTTGATGAAAATACCTCTAAAGATATGAATATAGTATAATGGGTTTGCTAAATAAACAAGAGTTATTACAAGTAGGTGATTCTGTACAATTTGAAATTGATTCCGAAAGTCATGCCTGTCATTCGTCAGAAAAAACTCATAAATTATTATACCTATGTCTGTTATGAATTATGAAATAAGGAATAAAACTTTCAGCAATAGTGTTGTAATTTTAAAAACAATATGAATAAAGAACTTACCTGATCATTAAAAGACTTAAGAGAAGGTACAAAATGTTTCCAATATCATTATAATTTGTAATATTGAATAAAATTTTTATGTATATTGTGATTGATTTTGTTCTAAATTGTAAATAAACATAATCATTCTGAAATAGACGCTGATGTTGATTTAAAAAATAATTGTATATCTGCATTCTTATTTTATTGTAATTCTCTTCTAAATTAGCATCAAGATAATTAAAAATTAAAATATCATAAAAAGGAATTAATGTAACTTGATTATTTTTCAAATTTTCAATGAATAAAGTTTTTATTCTTAAAAAATTCTGATTTTGCAATGTGCCAATTTTCATGTGTTTCAGAGTTATTATTTGACATTTTGAAATTTTAAAAAAGTTATCATCAAGAATTAATCTTAAAAGACTGTTAAGGTTTGACCAGTATAATTCATCTCGTTTCAAGTCCCATAAATAGTTGAAAGCTGCATCAATAATTGAATTTATAATATTATATCTGATTTCATTATCAACGTACACATAAAAGTATTTTTCTTTCAATAAAAGATCGCAAAGTTTTCGTAATTGATCACTAATCACTATCCAGTAAATTTGATTCATTGTCGATCCCTAAATAATTGGAAGTATCGACTTTAGAAAAAGATCTACGATATGATAAAGATCTTGCTGAAGAGAGAAGTTTGGACTCTCAAGAAGGAACACTTATTACAACTCCAATACAAGATGCTGGACTTCTTGGAGCTTCATATGTTTCATATTGTTCTAATTCCGCTAAGTCATCAAGGGTACAATTATCACAACTCCATAAACCATTATCTTAGAGAACGCTTAGAAAATGAAATGAGAACTCATTAGATAAAATATAGACTGACCCAAAATTAATTAATTAGCTGTATTATCATAAATATACCTGTATTTCATACAAGCTCCAGTTACTAAAGGGCAAGTTGTTGAATCATAAAATTTATATTTATTTTTATTTACATATTAAAGTTATATTTGGAACTTACGAATTAGTTAAATAAATCAAATACATAAATTAAGAAAAAATTTATTAACTCAATCATTATTAGAAGTCAAGTAAATGTAAAACAGTGCGCTTTTGTAAACATTATTTTATCTAAAATTAAAAAAGATTATATACATTATCTTAATAAAATTACTAGAGATTTAGTTTATCAATAAAAAATAAAAACTATCCCTATTATACCGACGTAGTACATTTACCATTGGTAAACTTGAAGTTTGGCACAATACTTATATGGTAGAATCGTTAGAGTACTATAGTTCTGGTACAGTTACCGCTTTGGCACAAAAGTATACGGCACAAATGACCGCTTGTCGATTAAACTAATGAATAGCCGCGAATCAAGTTTGATCAACGACTGCTGGCCACTCCATCTACAGCCTACTCATTTGGACCGCTGCGACATGTGTGGTCGCAGTTAGTACTGAGCGTTCTACTGTCTGTATTCTTTGCTATAAGCGTTCGGAAGATACCGGAGTTATTTGGCTACTTTCGATCATTTTCGGTGACACAACGCGTGTCGTGTTTTCGTATCTCGAAAACATCATCAGTTTCGCTATAAGTAATCGGACATCCTGTAGAATTTTTTGAAGCTTGAGCTACACTGTAAAAACTATAAAATTTAAGATAATATTAAAAATATGATGTTTAAGTACATAATATAATTTTTTTCGTATTAAAAGGGTACAAAGTTCTTTCGTGATTAATAACAATCAGCGGATATTCCTTAAAAAAAAAGTAATTAGTTATTTTCCATGTCTCAAAATTAAGATGGCCTGTACGAACATGACTATAGAAATTTTTGTTGATTATTATTATTTGCGGTACACCTTTCGACCGTTCTAATAGTAAAAAAAAATTATTTTACGTACTAAAACACTATATTTTAAATGTAATTGCTAATTTTATAGTTTTTCGAATTCAGACCAAGCCTAAAAAATTCTAGATTCGAAACTCAACATAAAAAAAACCATGCCAGGTGTCGGTAATTGCTTATCAAGAATACACTAGGCATTAATGGACTCGAGTGTACACATAGCAATTTAAATATCTGATGAAATTCACCCGTAAATGATATCGAAGAAAGTGGGGACAATACATCTTTTCAGTAAATTGGATTACATATCTTCAATTTTATCCAATGGACACATTTTTGTTATAAAATGATAGATTTCATTTTTATGTAAGTTTTCCTTTTTTTCCAATTTTTCTCATATTAACACTTAAACTTATAAAAGTAATATAGAATTAATTACAGTAAGTCATAAAAATACTATTTATATAAATATTATTGAGCTGATCAACGGTAGCCTTATAACGTGTTTATAATGTACTAACTCTAGTAAAACATAAAATTTATTTTTATTAATCTTATATACTTCAAACTTGCATCTTTTGTAATTTAATTATATCATAAAAAATTGTAATATTTGTTTGAAAAAATTTTGCTTCATAAAGTAGTAAATATGTTATAATTTTGATTTGTTCCGTTAATCAGCACATGTACATAGAATAATGAATTGATTTTTTTTTGTTATTAATGTAAAAAAATTTTCATTCTAGCCATAAATCTTACAACCAAGATTGAAGTTTATGATGGTTCTAAAGTACTAACATAATATGCTTCACTTCCCAAAGATGAATTTTTTTTTGAGATTAATTTTCACGAGGAATAGAGGTTTAGTTACGAAAATAAAATTTCGATACATATGTGTGTTATTGATCATTGTTTTTCTATTGAATTCTTTTGGAGTATTTACTCATCTCTTTGAATTGCCATTCGAAGATTGTTTTACATACCCATATGAAGGTAATATCCTTACATTTATAGATGCTCTCAAGAATGGTGAAAAACCAAGCATTAATCCGATTAACGAGTATAATTTTAGTTTTATCTATGCTAATGAGAAACATTGTTTAGATAATGATTACAATATATTACATGTTGTATTTATAATTAAATCAGCTATTGAAAATTTTGACCGTCGTACTGCAATAAGAGCGACGTGGGGATCAAAAAAACGCTTTTTCGATGTACCAACAAAAATCGTATTTTTGCTAGGTGTACATATGAATGCAGCAGTACAAAGTCAAATTGATAATGAAGTAATTAAGTATGAAGACATCGTACAGTCCAATTTCATAGATTCTTATTATAATAATACTATTAAAACAATGCTTGCATTCAAATGGGCTAAACTCTATTGTTCGAACTCAAAGTTTTACATGTTTGTTGATGATGATATTTATGTATCAGTAAAAAATGTTTTAGAATTTATTCGAAATCCAATGTCATGTATAGATGAGTCACAAAATTTCAATGAATTTCGACCATATAAGCGAAAAATAAAGAGCAACATTATCTCATCTCCGTTGAATTGGCAAAAATTCAATCGCACCAAAGCTGGTGATAATTTTATGGAAAAAACTCAATATATCATTGATTATGAATTACCAAATGATATGCGGTTGTATGCGGGATATGTCTTTAATTCAAGACCTCATCGACATAAAACATCAAAATGGTACGTGCCGCTTCAAGAATATCCATATAATAAGTGGCCCCTTTATGTTTCGGCTGGAGCTTATGTATTATCTAAAGAAGCTCTTGTTGATATATATTTTGCTAGTTTTTATATAAAACATTTTCGATTTGATGATATTTACTTAGGTATAATAGCCAAAAAAGTTCATTTAAAACCGTTCCATTGTCACAAATTTCATTTTTACAAAAAAGATTATACAACATATAATTATAAACACGTCATTACATCTCATGGTTACAGTGATCCGAAAGAATTGATACAAGTCTGGAACGAACAGAAATTGTTAGGAAATGCATAGCTAAGTTTCTTTATTATTATTCCAATAGATTTAATACATATTCTATAAAATAACGTATAAGATAATATACAGAAAAAAAATCGATTACTTTTTCTACTGATTACAGTGAATCTGTTGGTAATACTTAAAATTATTTTACAATAGTTTGCAAATTTTATGCTATACAAAATTTTTGAATGTAAATAATTTTGTTGAAAATAAAATACTGAATTTAAAGAATTAATTATTTCTTTCTTTAAATGCACATATATTTTATCTATTAATTTATGCACAGACGATGTAATAAAGCAGCTTATAGAAAAAAATACTTCTCTCGGGAATGAATCATTTTATGAGCAATATTATTTTTGTTGTATTTATTTGTTATTCCTATGAAATTATTAACGTAGATTTTTTTTCATAAGAGTTTGATCGAAATTTGTTGCCTCTCGTTTTGTTAAATTTAATAGTAATTGAGAGCTCTCTAAAATCTGAAACCATAAATTAAAAGATCTAAAAATTTTTTTTAAGTTTGAAAGGGAATTGATCAATTGATAAAAGTTTTTTTGTGTCTAAATAACGAAGAATTGATGATTTGGCCATATCTGAGCGGAAAATTTAATTGATAAAAACATGATAGTAGTTCTATAATCAATGATTAATTCAAATATTAAAATACTCAAATAAGTGTAACTCACTTTGATATAAGCTGTCTCTGTATCAGTTATAATTTTATCATATTCATCCCGTACAGACAGGCTTTTCTCGAGATTATCATTTAAACATGTTAGTTGATACGACATTTGTTCTATTTTTTTTTGCAGGTTATTTTTTTCTTCTTTTTGAATTTCAATTCGAGATTGTAACACAGAACGACGTAATTTCATTCCTTCTAAATCTATAAATCAAAAATTACCGTTATTATGTTAATATTTCTCTGTAACACAAACAAATCATTTTTTCACATTTGACTAATTCTTGATTGTAAGTTTGCAAAGCAGCACCGTGTTGAGACATTGTATATACATAAGGGATCTATCAGGGAGCACAAGATTTGTCCTCGCTTAAGGCTGGGCTGAAGTCAGAAAGGCGACTGATTCCCACTATCCAAATATATGGGTTCGGGAAATTTCTAATTTCTTCGCCAATTTACGATTATTTCTATAAAATTAGGTACCAAATTACAGAAAAATTAACGCCGGACTGACGTAAACAACAATTTTTTGTATATAGTGAATATTTTTATTAAAAAAATTAGAAAGAATCATGAAAAATTATGAATTCACTTGCCGCGCTTAAATTTCAAGATGGCGGCCACATCATTCAGATGAAAAATCACTAATTATTTCATTTTTATACGTTTTTCGCCCAAAATTCGTGTTTGCGTCAGTCCTTGCCACCTGTCTGAATGTCAAAAAAATCAATTCATAGTATAAAATTGAATAATTTAGAAATAATTAGAAATCTTGTATTCCAGATGATATTCTCCGGATAATTAGTTTGAAAAAATTCTGATAGGTGACAGCATTATGCTCGCAGATGACCTCAGTCATTCATATTGAAAAAATGCTCAATCCGTATCCAGAACTGATGGTGCCCTGCATTTTGGTGCGTAATTTGTGTATGAGTGTGTACTAGAGATGTGAATCGGTAATTGACGGGTAAATTTACCGTAAATTACCGGTAAAAAACGCGTCAATGACCAAGCCTGTTTTACCATACCGGTCAGAAAAATGCTGATCTCTGATTGGTTAATACATGTCCAATCACAGTTTAGAATTCCCAACGGCATACAACTGTTTATTTGTTCTATCAGGTATATATTTTCATTTTTATTTGTTTATTAAAAATACTGATAATATTTAATATAAGAAAATTCAATTTGTAGATAAGGATTTTCATTGAGAACTTGGTGCAATGGGGGAGAACAAATCAATATATAAACATTTCTCTGCATTACCTCTGCAACCTAACCAAAAATTAAAATCGTATTCATGTAACTATTGCAAGAAAAAGTATGCAGAAAACATTACTCGTATGCGAAAACATCTTTATAAAGAGTGTAGAAGTTGTCCTCAAGACTTACGGAAACTACAATCGATAGTTTTTGTGATAAAATGTCAAAAAAAGATGAAGATTCTCTACAAGAACTACTTGCAGAAGCGATTTATGCATCTGGTACACCATTATGTATAACAGAAAATCCATATTGGCTAAAATTTTTTAACGCATTACGGCCTTCATTTAATTTGCCATCAAGATATCAAATATCAAATAATCTTTTAGATTCAGTATTCGTTAGAACACAAAATATGGTTAATGAAAAAATTGAATCTGCTACTACTGTTGGAGTGCAATGTGACGCATGGTCTAATATTCGCAAAGAAGGAATCATCAATTTTATTGTAACAACCCCAGCGCCAGTTTTTTTCAAAACATTTCCAACTGGAACCGAATCACAAACTGCCTTATATATTTCTGAAAAAATAGGAAGTGTTATTGATGCTTTGGGAATTAAAAAAGTTATCGGAATTTGTACAGATAATTGTGCTGCAATGAAAAGTGCTTGGACTTTGATAGATCAAAAGTATAATGTCGACAAATTGTATTGTTATGGTTGTGCTGCTCACATTCTTAACCTACTCATGAAAGATATTGGTAGTCAAGCAACTGTTGAAACTTTGGTGACAAGTGCAACAGCTATTGTAAAAGGAATAAAAGAAGTACAAATAATGTCAGCGATTTTCAAAGAAATTCAATCTCAAGATGAACGTAGAGTATTTATTACCTTAAAATTACCAGCTAAGACAAGATTTGGATCTACTATAATTATGATTGACAGTCTTTGTGTTAATAAGCATAATCTTCAGGCTTTAGCAATTTCTTCAAAGGCTATTACATTATGGAAACCTGCTTCTCGTGCTCTTGTACTAAATGAAGAATTTTGGAATAATCTTCAACAAATTCTTCAATTGATGAAACCGATTGTAAAGTGGATAAATATTTTAGAGGGTGATAACTCTTTAATAAATAAAGTACCTGAATGTTTTTATGATTTATATAATCATTTTAATAATGCATTTAATAATATTGGAAATATTTTTTCGGAAGAAGAAAAGCTGAGCATATATACTTGTTTAGAAAATCGTAAAACTATGGCTCTACGGCCCATACATTATGCAGCTAACTTACTTGATCCTCAATTAAAAGGAAAAAATTTAAATAGGTCAGAAATGGTTGAAGCTCATCAATTAATTATAAATCTTGGTGATAAATTAAATCTAAATAGTGATAAGGTATTAAAAGATTTAACAGATTATGTGTCAGAATCAAGTATGTGGAGTTACGACTACGTTAAGCGAGCAAGTATAATCACTTCAGCATGTCAATGGTGGCAAAGTATTTGCCAAAAATCTTCGTTGAGCAAAATAGCTGTGGCTATATTGACTTTACCTGCAACATCAGCTGCAACCGAGCGTTCCTTTAGTACACAAGGATGGATTCATTCATCTAAAAGAAATAAGTTGAGTATCGATAGAGCTGGAAAAATAACATACATTGCAAGAAATTTAAAATTACTTAATCCTTCACCAAAAAATACAGAAGAAGAATGGGAATAAGATGAGGAAAGTAATAAAGGAGAGGATGAAATAAGTGAAATTTGTGCTAAGCATGAAGAAGTTGAATTTTTAGAAGAAGAATTTACTCAAGACTAATTAGTGATGTTGATGGAATTGAATCAGTATTAGACTTGTTATTTCCTAATGAAATATGTCAATTATTATGTGATATTACTAGTTGATAGAAACTATAGATTATATGGTTTTATTTTTTCATAAATAATTTACATAAAAGTTAAAAAAGTCAAATTCTTTATAATATGTAATAACGAAGGATTATCTATTTTATAAAAAAAAATGTACCAAAAACTTAACTAAATAAACGTTTATAATAATTTTCAATATATTTATTATTTCTGTCCTAACAGTCAAAAATGTAAAATATTTTTTTTATTACAAATTACAAAATTTTTTTTTCATCTTATAATAATTAATTAGTTTTAAATTAACAAGTGCAAAAAGCAAAATTAACTTGAGCAAATTGGCAAGCAAGTTCGAAAGCAAGCCATTTCCTCGGTAAAAAGCTCATCATATTCATCTATATAGATGCGAATGACCGGTAATTTACGGTAATTACGCTGACCGACGGCTTGACGGTAAATTTTACATTCAGAATTTTTTGACGTCAGAATACCGTCAGATAGCGGTAATTTTACGTGGTAATTACCGAATTTTCTATTACCGGTAAATTCACATCTCTAGTGTGTACGGGTAATATATGTATGTCATGTAAATATAGTTTATCACTTCACAATGCCTTATACTTTGGTGACTATTGCAGTTAGAATAAATAAAAATGATGATACTCATTTAACATTAATTAATATAATACCTGCAAATAACTTCAAATACATATACTCATCCATTATTATCATTTTTATTAGGTATAAATGTTAATAAGGAAGCTCAATTCCAAGTCGGCATATCCAAGCATGTAGTATAAAAATAAATACACATAAACTCAATATCGAGATTATGCTGGCCATGTGGTTAGAGCGTCAGAGGTCTATTTTGCCGGGCAGGGTTCAATCCCAGTCATAATCACTTTTTTTCTACTTTATTCGTTAGATTAACATGTAATTATAATATTGACATGCCATAATTATTCCTTTATAACGATTTGATTTTTTTTTTCTCTTTACTCATTGAATTTATCGACGCTAAGTCGGAAAATATTTAAACAGAGCCATAAACTTTTTTTTTGTATAAATACATTGATAATAGCCTGTGTTTAACAACTTATACATCTTTACATGTATTAACAATGTTATGTTATTAACATGTTATTAACAAGTTAATCATATGATTATTAACATTGAAAAATAGTTTAAACAATCTGTGGCGAGTTTCGGCACTTTCCCGGAAAGCTCTACCCCCATTCTCTGTGCCCAAGCCTGCAGCTTATAACTTTTAAGCATATATAACCACATTGGAACCATAACAGCTTAGTGATTACAGCATCGGTCTTTTATTTTGCTAGGCAGGGTTCGATTCCAGTCATGATAAAGTTTTTTTTTTCTCTTTTATTTGTTAGATTTGCATGTAATTATAATATTAACATGCCAAAAGTAATTGTTTACAACGATTTGATTTTTTTTTTCTCAATTATTTATGTAATTTATCGACGCCGAGTCGGAAAACATATGAACAGGGTTATAAACACTTTTTTTACTATAGCTATATGAACGTAGTTTTTTTTAAGCAATTTAGAAATATTTAGAAGTAGTTGAAATGGGAGCGTGACATCCGTCCCCAATAAGATGTCAGTCAAAGGCATTTTTACAATCTTTTAAATTTGAATCTTTAAATGTATAATCTTACTGATTGTTAATCAAATTCTATGATGCCCAGATTTTTTATCTAATGATCATTTTAAAAATATGCTTTATTCTTTTAATCTTTTAAAATTGGTTTTTTTTATTTTCAATCATTTAATATTCAATCAAATTATAACAATTTTTCTTTTTTTAATGTTTATCATTTCGTTGAACAGTCAACTTAAGAAATTAGGACTGGTAAGTTATCTTGCGTCGGTATAGTAGAAAAAAAATTCAACTAGTGTCACTGTTTTCTAATAGATGACAGTAATTACACTGTTTTCAATCAAAAATTAAAAATACTTATACAAAAAAAAGTCTTCTTTCTGGCTCATGTAATGTCATGTAATTCCCACTACATAAATAAGTATATTTAGGCTTATAATCTAATGATAATAACATTTTTATCTTAATGTTAGCGTAATAACGTAATCCAAGTGAAAAAAATTTGAAAACTGAATTATTAAAAAGTTGAAAAACTTCAAAAATAGTGTCTGTCAGTATTATTCTCTTCTTTAATAAACATAAACGATTTTCGTGCAACGAAGAAAAAAAGTTTTATTACTTAAGTTTTTATAAAAATAAATCAGTATTTTTAATGAATACCTTAATTTAACTGAATTTAAATATAAATATAATATGAATATAAATTTGTTAATAAATTTTAATATTAATCACTACTCAATTCAATTATTTTAAAATAAAATAATCAGGGTCAATTAAAGAATTCAAAAATCCTTCCTGAAGTTATAAGTATAACTTTTATTTATATTCAAGAAAATTTACATTTGCTGATATCTCTTTAACTTTGGTTTTCTACACTTCCAAATATGAGCCACGTTGTCTCAGCTCCCGTCGAATATTTGTGCGTTCAACTACTGCCTACAAATATTCTGACAATGTCATCCTATATATAAATTGATATTATAACAAATTATTTAAATTTAATATAAAATGATTGAATAAATTAACAAATTATATAAGTACCTTCCATTTCTCGAGGACTCTTGTAAATTATTAATGTACAAGTCAATTGTATGTTGAATTGCTCGAGAATGATTTTGTCGTGTAGTTTCATTCATTATTCTACAATATTCAATGTCACTGTCACAAATTATGTTTATTAATCGATCTGAAAAATGAAATTTAATTCAATACAGAATTATGAATATGTATATATTAAATGTGTTTTAATATTTACCCAAAAAATTACTTTTTTGTGTTAAAACTAATTGTCGTGTGAACTAAAGTGAGTAATAATAAAAATTTAATAGGATCTTAATTTTATTTCTCTTTAATATATAATTTATTTGTGTGAAAATTTATTTTGTTTTTTAAAAAATATGTCATTAATGAAAAAAGAGTTTGAAATAAAAATTATATTGAAAAAAAACCTGTTTAAAAAATTTCATTACACAATGGAAGAAACTAACTTTATTAGAAAAGTTAAACTAAGCGTAAATTAATGATACAAATAATATATTTTATTTTATTTATAATTACGATAATACTAGAAGACTGTCTTACTGATAGTCAATTAAAACACAAACTAACTGAAGAAATAGCAAGTAATTCAGTAACTTAAATGATTGATGAAACAAAAAAAGGAAATATATTGAAGAAAAATTCAATTTAAAAGTAAAGTATTTTTTTATTATTTTGAATTGTGTAATTGATATTGTAAAGAAATTAACTCAATATAACTTGATGTGGTATATCTCTAACGATGAAAAATATCGATATAAGTAATTGGTTTTGAAGAAAATTATGCTCCATTTCAAGAAGATCAATCTAATATTTATTTTTGGTAAGTAAAGTTGCTATTAAACAATTCAAAATTTAAAGTCATATAAGTATTTTTAATTTTTGATTGAAAACAGTGTAATTACTGTCATCTATTAGAAAACAGTGACACTAGTTAAATTTTTTTTTCTACTATACCGACGCAAGATAACTTACCAGTCCTAATTTCTTAAGTTGACTGTTCAACGAAATGATAAACATTAAAAAAAGAAAAATTTTTATAATTTGATTGAATATTAAATGATTGAAAATAAAAAAAACCAATTTTAAAAGATTAAAAGAATAAAGCATATTTTTAAAATGATCATTAGATAAAAAATCTGGGCATCATAGAATTTGATTAACAATCAGTAAGATTATACATTTAAAGATTCAAATTTAAAAGATTGTAAAAATGCCTTTGACTGACATCTTATTGGGGACGGATGTCACGCTCCCGTTGAAATAATCCACGGGGATTTCTGGCACTTCGCCGGCAAACTCTATCCCTACCCTTCGTACCCAAGCCTGCATTATACAATTTATAAACATAAACATAATGTCAGAGATGATGTGTTAGCTCTGTGAGTAGAACACCAAGCTTTCGTTTTACCGATTAGGGTTCGATCCCAGTCATAGCCAATTTTTTTTTCCTTTTTTTTTCATTAAAATTTTATATAAATACAATAATTGGTTGTTTATATAAGTTCAAAATCAATTCCTATTGTCTTTTAAAGACAACACTTTCGAAAAAAGAGAATTCATAGTAACTCGTTCCTCACCCTCAGCTTATTTTCAGAAAAACAAGTTGTTTTCCGTAATTAATTGGAAGAATAATTTAATCAAATATATGAATTAATTTATAAGTATATAAAGTCACTTAAGCAAAAAAAGAAAAAAACAATTGCCTATGACTGGGATCGAACCCTGCCCAGCAAAAAAAACGATTGGTGCGCTTCCACTGAGCTATTATGATTTCAATAATGTGAATGATACTTAAAAACTATAAGCTGCAGGCTTGGGCACAGAGAGTGGGGGTAGAGCTTGCCGGTGAAGTGTCGGAACTCGCCGCGGATTGTTTAAACTATTTTTTATTGATAATAAGTTGTTAAAAAAGGCTAGTATCAATGTATTTGTACAAAAAAAGGTTAATGACCCTGTTCAAATATTGTCTCATTTGTCATCGATTAATTGAAAAATAATTTTACATAAAAATTGAAATTTAAAACTCATTTTTGATGTCGAAATCGAATCTTCTGACTACAGAGCCAGCATATTTTCATTTGCTTTGTTTACGTTTAGATATCATAAGCTTCAGGCTTGATAACAGAGGGTGGGGGATGTGCTTGCTCGTCAACTGTTCGAACTCGCAATTTTCTCTGAAAAATAAGACGGAGATAG